AAGTATAAACAGCCATAAAATACAGTTTATGTAGAAGATAGATCTGTGAAATCTTTCGATGATGACACATAAATGGCCCAAACGTCACATTTCAGTTTCCTACTCACCGGATAGAGTTTCTGAATTTCGTATATATATATAATAAAATTTTAACGAAAGATTACTATATTCTAGCGAAATTACAGTGTGCAGCAAGTGTTAACTGCCAGCAGCGAAAACTGCCGTAGGAAAGACTCCATTACGTTTATCGTACCCGTCGACTACAAAAATTATAGTCTTTACTGGACCCGCGACAGTGTCGCGAGGTTTAATCTTCATCGTTGCAAAGAAGAATTACTCGCAGAAAACTTGTTAAAATCAACATCGCGGCTGGGAAACGGAGGGTCCGGGTAGATCTTCTCATCCGAAGCGATTGGTACTTCTGGGGCTACGTACAACGTGTTCGAAACCTGTAATTGTCTGGTCACGCGAGGTCACTCTCAGAACACGAACACGATCGTACATGACGTGCACCATACCAGCCATTAAGTTACAACCAGCGCACGACAGATGGTGCAGGTTGCTTGAGCATGTCCCCGATGTAATTTCGTGACAGTTGCAAGAACGGTCAGAGTGGATGTGGAGAAGGATTGGGGAAACAAAAAAATTTCACAAACTTTCATCGCACGAGAACTTCGGGACAATGTTCCACGTAACGTGCCCCCCTTGTATATTGTATGTACGTCTGTTGCCGCCATTAGTACCTATCTTCGAAAAATCTTGAAGTTCAATGCGAATTAAATTCCCTTTTCCGTGACCTTTTCATTTCTACATCGCACTTCTCGATGTTGCGATAAATCAAAACGATAGATAATATCTGAGAAAGATCCGAGACAAATTGTGGATATTGGTAATTTTTCAATTTTCTTTTCGTGCAAAAGTGTGATTTAATCAACTATTTTATATGAATTTCTCATTCTTCGTAACGTATAATATTAATATAGTTTTTAAGCTGTAGATATTATTACCCAATACTTTTTCGAAAAGTATTGGTCTAAATTGAAAATTGATGTTTTTAATAAAAAAGATTCGAATGATCCGAATTTCGGTGGTCTCGTTTCGTTGCAATGATAGCGAAGACAAGTTTGTTTCTTGTTTTACGGAGAAGTTTAGGCCGAACATGCCCGTAGTGTTAATCCCTGGGGCTTAGTTACGGGACAGAGAAATCCTGGTGGTTATTCGCAAATGCGTAACTCGTGCAACAAGATCCAAGGTGGTCACACGCTGATATTTCGGTCCTCTTTACTGGCACGTCAATTTTCATTAGTTTCTTCTACGCTGCTAAAAATGGAAATTTAAAGAGAATTAATATTTTACATACAATGCAATTATAATACTAATTATTAAATTCTCCATTCCGTATTTTGCTAAATGTTTGACTGTTTACTAAATGCATCGTTTAAGACTGAATTTAAAGGAGAACTTCCATCTAGTACAATCTACAGCGTATGTATTACATTTTTCCTTCTGGACAAATCAACGTAAGATCAGTAACAAAAATTGATGGATTAATTAATCATACTTGTGCTTCAATATTCTCATAATTTATTAAGAAAATTATTTTTTTTTCGTTTACAATAATAATACGAATTTGGATTAAATTACACAGGAAATATTATACGTTAATGTATAAGGAATTCATGAATTTCTGTTCCATTTTTTTCCTAATTACATTTGGTTCTGATTAATAGAATGTGACTATAAGCAAAATATTCAAGAAATTCATTATGTAGAAAATATGTTATTAGTAAGAATAGTATAAAATGAAACAAATTTTGAGTAATACTTGGTACACGAAACTCAATGGAAAAGCACTTATCGAGTTGCTTAAAAATATATCGCACAGAACGGGAAGCCGACTGACTAGTTCTGGTGCATATTTCTTTAAAGCGCCCCGAGAAATAGTGACCAAACTTCCCTTAAATCATACTTTCGGGATAAAGCAATAAACGACTAGTTTATTTGCTTGTAGGTTCAACGATCCGAGCAAGGAATATAAAGTATACATGAATATTGGCAAACCAGAAATACAGCGCATTCTCTGACGGTGTAGCGAGTGAAACTACACCACGATGTCGGACATAGCAGTTGTCAACCATTTGATAGGTAATTTTCATTCAATTCTACACGCACCACTGCGGTTGCTGTGAAAGGATGTCGAACGACGGGCTTTTTATTGTTCCTCGCATTTTTCCATTCGCGGAATCTCACTGTATTTATTAAGAATTCCATTTCTAACGATCGCGCTTTGTCTCGGACAGCCTCGCCTTACACTTTATCCGAACGAGTGACAACCGTAACACTTATAAACGAACGTTTATCGTGACATTTAACTTTTAAGAGAAATTGTAAGCCACAGTGAAAACAAAAATTGGTAATTAATTTTAGATTCTTGGCGATACCACTGTTTTGTCTAAAACCAGAATTTAGGTGGGGATGTAGAAATAATATTCGTTTCTTGGATCAATTAATACTGTACTCAATAGTAATTTTTATAGGAAAACACAGTGCACCTGATTGTTTAATATAATGCATAGAACGTATAATTTTCTGTTTTTTGATAGCTACACTTGACAATTAAAAAATGTGACTATGTGTGGTACAAAATATTTGAGAATATTTCTATGTAGTAATGTTAATAATGTAACAGTCAGAATAGTACACAATGATCGCAAATTTCAGAAAAATATACTGTAGCTCCATTCCATAAAAATCAACCTGTATAAAATTTGTTATTAAAAATTACATATAATGTTAAAACGTCCTTCATAAAACATTTCGAGTTATACGAGAATTTATGTGATATTAGCTTCTTACCACGGTTTCGTTCGCGTGAGTGTCGTTTAAAAAAAGAATCACGAAATATTTTATGTTTTGACAGAGCTCGAAAACGTTTATTATTCTATTGAAATAGCTATTACTACCTGATATTATTAAAAAACAGTGTAGTTTCATTTTGCATTTATTTATTCCACATATTCTCGCCGATAAAGCTTTTCTTACGTTAAAATATTTTCAGTCTTGGAAGCAACTAACGATACGTAATGGATCTCTATCAATATTTCACGATACGATGGACAAATTATTATAATATCGGTATCGAGGGGAAGCCTTCATTTTCCATGTACATAAAGACTGTGTCCTGTCACCAGTATGCCGCCTCGAATATCGATTCGCGAGGTTTATTCGACCGCCAGAGCGAAAGTGAATATCCGAGCCTCGGCTCGTGTGCCTCTGTATTACAAAAACGAACCGCGGTAACAATATTTTCTCTCGTATCGGACCACTGTCACGCTTCATTCGTCGTTTCAACCGAGATTCCGACACGCCATGTACGCGCAATTTATTTCACAATCAAACCAGCTTGTCGCAGTCATTAAATTCCGCAGTGAAACGATGGACCGCGGAAAGGACGAGTTACAGTTTACTCGATATTACAATTACGGCGGCGCATAATCGATATTAATTAGAGAGCACAATGCGATCGATTTAAACTCGTCGCGTGAATCGAAACTGGCACGGTTTATCGTCGACGTCTCGTATCGACTAGCAACAATTACGTCCAAACAATCGCTCAAACTTTTTAGTTTAAATCGAACGACCAGCTATCGATGTGTTCGATGCTATGCTCGCTATAAGAGACACTTGCACGTGTTAACGATCTAGTACTGTGAACTATGTTACTGTGTGTGAAAAAGAATTTCTCTTCGTATTCATTCCATGAAGGTATGAAAAATTTTAATCGTAGCAGAAGTTTCTTTATCAAGTATGTCTTCGTAAAATAGTATTTGCATTCAGACGTTCTTCTGTGTGACCAGAAATTAATTCTGATGTGTACCATTTAGCTTGAAATATGATATACGTTTACTTCATATAATAGCATCTAAACAAAATATAAAATAATTTATATCTTCGAAGGTATCGTATATTAGTATAAATGGTCATCGTCGAGGATCTAATATCTGATTAAGTGATCTCTGCCTCGCCTTTCCACCGACGATTACCGCTATACTGCAAGGAGTAACAGAGTTGTAAAACAACTAAAGTCTGCGCTCGTTTAGTGTTTCAATGCCCGAGGTATTGTCTGCAAGGGAAATTGTCTGCGCCTGTTTAACTGATCTCAGTTCGTAAACTTTTCATTTGCAGAAGTCAGAAATTATTTCCACCAAGGTCGGAATAAAGATACTTCCTCTATCCTGAGATTAACTTTCAACTTACTTATTCCGTGCCATCCACAGTCTCCCTTTCTGCACTCTATTAAATAATCGAGACATTCTTTGCGCAAGCTCCTGATAAATGGAGAATTAACCTCTAGCCATAAATTACACTCATTGGAATTAAAGAATTGTGTTTTCAATTTTCTATACTTCCAATTAACGTAATTATCATGTTACGTATAATTACGTAATATTACAGTCAAATTACTTTAGATTACACGTATTCGTCACTCTTTCTTTACAGCGAACGTTTTACGATGTCTCTATGATACAATGAAACAAATAAAATAGTTAATTTTATAAAGTATAGAAAATGCTATATAAACAGTCACCAAATAATTATGAAATATTTAAAATTTATAAAAGTTATATAACAATTACCACAACTCGTAAAATATTCAATATTTTAATAAGAGTAATACAAAACAATTTATAGTAAGATTTAAAATATCACTGAATATTACTTTAAGAGAATTTAATCACAAATTACACAATTGTCATACTCTTTAAATTTATCAAAATTATATGACGATTGATTCTAAGCTACATAAGGACTATTAGATAAATTTGTTTAGTATGTTAGTAGTGCAATGTTAACTTACGAATCGTAACGAAACCTACTTCGTAATATCGATGGGATTTCTCTCTTTGCTTGTTCGTACGATATCAATTTTGATATTGAGAAGATAGGAGGACGGTGACCGTACGAAATCTGACCATTTGTCGTGCTTTGATTTGTTACAGAGGGCAACAAGTGCCCGACCCCAGGCTGCACGGGGCAGGGTCACGTGACCGGACTCTACTCTCACCACCGCAGGTAAGCAATTATCGGTAATTAACCTGTGCTCTGCACTTTGCCCTGGTCGATTAGACACCTACGCGCTGCGAGGGAAACACCGAGCGGAACTGTGTGTGAATAGAACTGACACCAGCAAACCGATTCGACGTATCGGCTCATGACTAAGTCGCACAGTTGTGGATATGGCCACTTTAACAACAAATGTGTGCATAGAGGAGCCTCTAGAATCTCGCGTAACGACAAACGAAACCTTTACTATGAAGCATTATTAGCAATATTAATGTATTAAGATGCCAATTGAACTGCTTCGTAACAAATATCGTAATAATAAATTAACGTTTCGATTCTTGATTTGGGCCCTCTTTAGTATACAAAATATAATTCTGTCTACGTAAAAATATGCAAGTAATTAAATTGGACGAGAAGAATATAGAATATATAATTTCGAATAATATACTTGGAATTTAAAAGTTTTAAATGCCCAGTGATAAAGTGTAAGCTTTGTCAAAATAATAAAACTAATCGGACTAAATTCTTCTTGTTTAAAGATGGGTAGAACAAAATTACATAAATAAAATGAAAAATGCGTACTTGAGATCATTATTGAAATTATATATATTTGTAATTAACATATACATTTTCCTTTTAAACTTGATTGTGTTTTGTTTTAAAACATTCAATAATTCTTATTTGTGATCATTATTACCTTAAGTTTGTAAATTAATGTTTGTTCTTCGATTTGTAATTTATGCATTTGACAAATAATCAAATCATTAAAGTAGAGGAATAATTTCTACACTCCTCACAAGTGACCTAATTGTATAAATAACATCAAATTTTCTTTTGGATGCAAATACACGTAATGCAATGGTAGATATTATTTCCAGCACAGTATTCAATTATGCTGACTTCATAGTCATATATCTACCGTTGCTAATAGTACTGTATAATTAATTGAATATTATATACCCGCGTCTCGAATATCCAACTAATTTTAGATAGTTCCAATTATACATAATATGGCTTTCAAAGCTAACCACAGGCTTCTTAATAATACGTTCAATATTGAAATAATCGTGGCGTAAATATGAAAATGAACTGTGGGGAATTTACAGAAAAAAAATTTGAGCGCCTTATTTTGTAAAATAAGTTGTATGGAATGAGTAAAAATTAATATTCCATAATTTCTCAAAGTGTTTATTGTGCTCATATTTTATTTTATTATTTTGTATTTCTTATATTATTTTCAAACGTATATTATTCATGAGTCTAATATGCAAAAAATGAAATTAATGAAAAGTGTAATAATTGACGTCGTTATTCCGAAGAGGACCCATAATAAAGGATCGAAACGTCAATAGATTATTTTATATTCGCAAAACTAGAAAAATCGTATTTTTCTGTCATCTAACTCAAACTTCGGATAATTTTAAAAATTATAGCCTAAAAGTATCGGACGCGTTCGACTTGTAATTAATTTTATATCAGCCTTTTATAACAGCCAGGTGTCAGAGTTCAAGCAACTCGAAATCTAAGTAATTCGCATGAAAATACCGTACAAGTAGATTTTATCATCTTTCATTACTGTGATTTCAGTCTCTCCGGTTGTCCAAGGAAGGATAAACTAACGCCAGAAAGTAAGTAATCGCCAACGAGCAATATCATTATTACTTCTTATCGTAGCTACATAGATGCATCTTCTTTTTGCGAGATTGCCTTTTTCACGCGACGGTGAAGGAAGTGGTGAGCGAGCGTGAACGGATGTATGCACTTGTTTCCTCACGGTAGAGCGTTTCTGTTGATCGGCAACGATCACCTAGCGATCGATGTATCTCGACCCGGAGAAATCACAGCTTGATGTCGTCCTCGTTTTCGCGCGCGCGATACATTAATTTCCGAAGAAGCGTACGAACTAGCTCGCTTCCGGTCGAAACACAGCCACGCGACACTACCGAACCGAAAATGAAAACAAGATTCTTCACGACGTGCTTCTAACGAGTCGACGGGAAGAAGAGTCAGCCCGTTTCTATGTGTGTCTATGTGTCTGTCTGTTACATTCTTTGTGCTTTTCGTTTTGCGGGGTAGAGAGCTTTATTTATTGCGTTCACTTCCGTTTTAATTTCTCGTTCTGTTTGTAGTTCATTATTGTAGAGAATTATCTCACCACACTTGAACTTGGTTATGTTGGCCTACGTACCTACGAACATCTGGAGAACTCGAGACACGGGCGGTGTGCGACCACCCGTTATATATACGAATATATGTATATAAATATGCGTATGCGCGCACGCCTGAATCGAAACGGAGGATTTGTGCGATTGAGTATAATTGAACGTCGATCACACACTCCTGTGACACGGTTCCCGGAGAAACGGCGCTCGTCGAACGCTTTAGAACACACACGATGAATCACCTCGTACATACATCCAAACGAAGAAAGATTGTTGATAACGATACACCCTCGAAGTCGTAGATAACTCAAACGCAACTCCAGTTCTCAGCAATTATTCCTCATTTTTCGTTTTTATTATAATCAAACGTTAATCCTCATTACACGAAACTGGACCATTCATCGAATATAAAATCATTCGTATATACACCGAGGGCTCGATTAAGAGTAAAAGTAATTTTAAGAAAATTATTTATTTTAAATGTACACGTTTCTTTTTTTCAATTCCACCATAGAATTTTACCCTGTCGGCGGATAATCGAAATCAAAGAAACTTTTATCGATGTCCCCCTGAGTATAAATTTTTTAAAGGATAAAATCACGGTGTACATTTCGAGAACACGTGGAGCGAAGAACTTGCACTTTGTATACGATGTCTGTTCACGAGAGACCAGCTGTCCCGACACAGAACACACGGCTAACCCAATCACAGTACACGAACTGCAAGTTGTTGTCTTATAATTTTTCACTGGATTGATTATGTCTTTACTTGAGTTTCTCTCTACCCGCTCGGTATACTTGATTGTTCTGTTATACACATTGATTTGTATTTCATCCCATGACGTTGTTGTACCCCGTCCGAAATTTCTCTGTTCTTCCCTCCTTTATGTTTCTGTTTCATTCTTTCCTCTCTATATACACAACATCTCTCTCGCTCGGTGTTCTTCGTCGGAACGGAACGTGTCAAGGAAGAGTCGATAATTATACTCAGTAATTATACTCAATGCATAACAAATAAGCTGAAAAGCTAATGGTTGCAATGGTCACGGACGTAACGATTTTTCATGTAATAATTTGTACAACTATCGTTGATGACGTTGGCTCGACGATTATTGTAAAATGTGGATTGTTATACAATTGTCGTACAACACTGCTGTGTTGAGTGTAGGAATGGGCACAATTGAATTATTTTATAGACGAAATATGTTAGAATATATATGCTGAGGCAAATTTTATTAGCGAATAATGAATAGAAATTTTAGATTCATTTGCCTGAATGTCAATTTAAAAAATGTAATGGAATCTACTTTACAGACGAATCTAAAATTTTTATTTGTTATTCGTGAATAAAATTTACCAAACTCATAACATATGTTAAATTCTGGATGGTAGATCTGGGTCAGAGATGACCCATAATGTACTCCAAAGAAAATTTTAAATATCGAATAGAAGATAAGCAAGAGTTTAACATTAGTCGTTGAATACAAATAAACATTTTAACTATGGAACAAATATTTCATAACGAACAGATAAAAATTTAAATACTAAGCATTTAAGTGAAATGTAAAATATATTTTCTTCCCGTCATCAAAACCAAGAAATATACAGGGTGTTCGGTCATTCCTTAGAAGAAATTTAATGGGAGATTCTAGAAGCGAAAATAAGACGAAAATCAAGAATATCAATTTGTTGATTCAGACCTCGTTAAAAAGTTATTAAAAAACCTAAATTAAAAAATTTCAAATCATTCACGGAAAAATTATTTTCGGTTGTGGGGGCCAATTACAATAATTTTTGGTCAATAGACGTACCCCCAAAATCCTACTCACTTTCAAGAAAAAAATTCGAGTAGGTGCTGAAATTTTTCAGCGAAATTAAAAAATTTCAAATTGTTCTAAAAAAATTATTTTTAGTTACACGGGTCAATTATAATAATTTTTGATCAATATATATATCCTCGAAATCCTACGCACTTTCGAGTAAAAAATTCTGTACCGAAAATATAATTTCTGGCCACAAATGCTTCCTCGAAATTTCTTGCAAATATTTAAAATATCATAACTTCTGAACGGATTGGAGGATTTTAATGTTTCAAAAGGCAAATGACGCGTATTTGAGTGAAGAATATGTAAAAATTCTAACAATATTGGAAAAATTGTTCCTTGACCTCGTAAAGTAAGAAAAACTCCATGAAAATGGTCCAATTTTCAAACAGCCATAACTCGTACAATAGTGAATATATTTCAATGAAACTTTTTTTTGAAGTAGGCCCTATGGATACCTACAAAAAAGTATTTGACAACTTTTCTATAGGGTATCAAACAAAATTATGAAAAATCAAAAACGAATTTTTAAGAAGAATCGACAGGTGCCTAAATTTTACGGCGAAAAATAATTTGTTCAAATCGTTCTGGAAAAATTATTTTCGGTTGCGGAGGTCAATTACAATCATTTTTGGCGAATACACATACTCCCGAAATCCTACGTACTTTCGGGAAAAAAATTCTTTACCGAAAATATACTATGTGGCCGGACATGTTTCTATAACTTTTTAAGGACGCCTCTATCAACAAATTAAAATTTTTCCCAGGAGTGGCCGAACACCCTGTATTTCTATCACAGGAAATAAAACTAGAATTAAAAATGCATAACTTTGATGCAGAAATATTTACTAAATCTAGCACAATTGGTGACAAAATATGTCTTTGCCCGTTCTTGCGTGCGACAATGGTTGCAATTAGACTTGTTACAAAATCCTCGCGTCCATGACCGTTATCGTCACGATCCTCGCGATCCGGTGTGCGTGAATGCGTGGGGGTGTGGTTCGACGAGTGCTGTTGCGTGGAAGCCGCGTGTAAAACCGTCTCGAATAGCGTTCTGTAACCACGCCACGTGTCTCTGGGTTCTCGCAGTTCTGGCGATGCATGAGACTATTTTGAAATGCCCGACGCCTGGTTGCAACGGCCGTGGCCATGTCAGCTCGAACCGGAACACGCACAGGAGCCTGTCCGGATGTCCCATTGCCGCGGCCAATAAGCAGGCCGCACGCGAGGCACGACACAAGGCTCAAGGTAAGGCGGCACAGCAGCCCTACGACGTGCCCGGAATTTCCCAGGCACGAAAATCCACGCGTGGAGAGTCCACCCCCGTGAAATCAGATCGGGGGCTTAAGCTTTCCAGCAGGCCGGGAAAAGTAATCCGCCGCGGGACGTGGATCGTTTCGTGGCAGTTCTCGCGTTCACGCGAGCCCCGATATATACTCCTGCCCCTTTTTTTTGCCTTTGGCTTTGACGGTGCCCATGAGTAATGCGGTTTATCGAGCAATCGGGTTCCAGCATCGCGCGAAATTAATTCGCCCGACTTTCTTTAGTTTCCAACACGCTGCCTGCGAGCCAAAGCGAGACGAGTTTTATTAGGTCAGTGCATTCGTAGGATTATGGTCGTAATTGAGCTAGCCATATTGTATGTAAGGTTCACGGAGAGAAAGAATTATTAGGGTTGAATAGTTCGAGGATAAAGTGGAGGACCCAGGGTCGAATCTTCGTCTAGTATTGACCCTTCTTCTTCCAAAAATTTTAGTAATTTTAAAATGTCATCATAAGACAAATTTTTAGTGGATAGTTTCAATTTTTAAGTTTGAATTACTACCAATAAAAAAAAATACGTATCTCTCATTTTTGACTGTTCTATTAACCTTTAAAGTTTCATAAAAGTCAAAGGTATTAAAAACATAATGACTGCAAAAACTAATTATTTGTAACCAAGAATTGTGAAGTTTATTTTACCAAAACAGTAATTTCGTAAGGAATAGCGTTAATAAATTTAAAAAATGAACGACCAAGTTCTGTATACTTCATGTGTGTTTATGAAACCATAATAAGCATTAGAAAAAAACCAGAGAACATTTAGAAAGTTCGACAAACGTAATTTCAACCCTTCGAACAAGAATTAAATTAAAAGAGCAGCTGATTTCTGCATAAGAGATTTCAATGCCTGGATTGCGCCAGATGCACGTAACCCATTCGAATTCACAACAACGATTAAAATCTTACGTTCAAAATTACACAATGAAAATTTAACGTAACACAAGTGATTTCCTTTGAAACATAAAGATGTAAAATATGTAATTATAAAAAAACGGCATTGCTCATAGGCATCTCAATTAGAACAGAACAAACTGTAGCGACGATACGCTCGAACAAATTATAAAATCAGAAATCAAAACTTATGTATTTTATTGTTTCCGTTCTATAATTATACCCATATCGAATCTTATTTTTGGTTTTCATGATGGACGGCTGCGTAAGCGTGCTCATTCGATTACTACATATAATCTTGCTTTTATAAGTTTTAGGTATATCATAACATTTAATAATTCACGCTTTGTATGATTCAATGAACGCCCTAGTCACATCCTCGATGCCTTTTTATTCGTAGAAGCATGCTTTTTGCGCATAATTTTCGTAGACGTTAGCGTATTTACTAATCAAACGACAAGCGTAACAAAGTACAACCGTCGATCTAATCGCTCCATGGTTCGAGCAGCGATATAAACGAGCGATAAATTTTGTGTTCTCGCGACAGTGTCCGGGATCCCGCCAGAGTACATAAGTACGAACCTGTTGCCGCCGTCGATGGATAGCAAGAGCTACTCCCAGTACGGTTCCACGGCGCAGGACACAAAGCCGGTGCTAAATAGCCTGACCTACGACTATTACACGACAACGAAAAGCGCGGGGATCAACGTAAAACCTCCCAAAACTCCGGAGGAGAGCCCTTCGTCCCGTAGCACTAAAGTAGTCCCTAAAACCGAAAACATGACACCGAGCGGCAGTTGCTGCAACACGTTGCCGACCAGAGGTCAGAATACGTCCGATTTGTTGGTGCCCAAGACAGAGGAGACCGCTTCCTGTCGCGTGAATTCGCCGCCACCGCCGCCACCGCCAACCGTACGATCCACCTACGACTCCTACATGAATCAAGACTCGAACTCCTCGTCGATGTCGTCGCTGGACGCAATGGGGTCCAGAGGATCCATCGGCGCGACGATACATCATCCGAGCCAGCACCCGACCCACCACGTTCTGCCCATGCAGCCCACGGTCGCTTATCCGATGCCCATGGTCGAGGACACCAGGATGAGCCATCAGATGTCCCAGAGATCGCCTTACGAGCCATCAGCCATGATGGCGGCGGCTGCAGCGGCCGCTGCGGCGGCCACCACCAGCGAGGATCTCTATCATCACAGAACGGCCGAGCACGCGAGGGCCTACATGCACCCTGGTGCGAGTAATATCGCGCGACCGGTCGTCTCCTACTCCAACGAGATCGCGAACGCGAGGGGCTACGAGAACGCCGTGGCCAGCGCCGCCAACCATCGACCGTACGATCCTGGCACCACGTCCGCCTACGACAGATACGACACGCAGAGCTGCGCGCCTATCCAGTCCCAACAGCAACAGCAGCAGCAGCAACAACAACAGCAGCAACAGCAACAGCAGCTGCACTCGAGGACGAACATGTACTATCTCGGACAGACTGGAATGACGCCCGAGGAACAGGAACGAGTGTACCATCAAGAAGCTGCAGCCGCGGCTCAGCAGCATCAGATGGCGATGGCCGCTGCCACGGCCGCCGGAATGATGAAAACCGAAGATGGTAAGAATTTTTTAACCGTTTCCTCGCGTGGGACGTTGAAGTACTCGTACCGCCGCTGATGTCAAAATTGGAGTAATTCGTAGCGATGGAAATGTTCACTGTTGCAGTGAAGTGCGTCACGGTGGCGCAGGTGCAGCAGATGCAGAAACCAGGGGGCCCGCCGACTTCGCCTGGGGGGTCGGTGATGGACCTGTCCACTTCCAGCGTCACGTCTACGAGTCCTCAGGTGAAGCTCTATTTCTCGGTATCTTTGATCATGAGCGTCAAAGCAGCGATCAATGAAGTCCTTTAAGAAATGATGGTATTCCTTACAGGCGCCCCCGTACGGTTCTAATAGTCTGAGCCCTCAATATGGCGGCGGTCAGACCGTAGGCGGCAGTCCACAAGCTGCTGCGAGTCCTCACTTGACGGCTAGTCCTCAGGTCCCGAGTCCACAGGGGCAGACCCTAGATCTCAGCGTGAACAGGCTTCACAGGTAATACGATATTCACATGTTCTGTGTTGACAAATATATTGAAGTTTCGAAGCGACAGATTTTGAAGAAAATTGTTCTACTGTTTGGAGAAATTATTTAGACTAGAGTACTTTGAATAAAATTTTATTTTCGTATCGATCGTTTAAAGATTTTGTTTAATTTTGAAAGTAAGAAAATGATTTCTTTTTTAAATTTATTCCATGTGATAGTTTTTGAAAATTACTCCATTGTTCCAGAAATTAGTTGAACGAAGGCTATGCTGAATACAATATTAATTTTTGAGGGGCTATATTTAGCTCACTTTCGAGTTATAATATACTATTTTTTTTTTTAAATATTTTCTAGGAAACGGAACAAATTTTATTGTATACTTGTAACAGACACAATGGTTACAATACCCTGTATGAATATAAATGAGGCTACAGCCATATATTTGTGAATGGACATTAGTCGAAGAACGCTCATTGTACTAGGAATTATAAATATTATGTGAAAAGGAAGGCAAGGTATTAAATCGTTCCATTACTTTCGTCTGATTACAGTGGAGCACCTAGTCCCCAATATCCAACCGGCCACGGAGAAGCCGTGGCGGTTCCGGTTGGACCAGGATTCCCTGCGCCGAGACCAATCGAGGAACAAACCGAGCCCGTGGATTTCTCAACGGCGAACGAGCCGGTCAATTTCAGCGGGGGTCCCGGAATCAGGCCTGTGCCAGGATTTCCACCACCCGGTGTGCACGTCGCGGCGTACAGTCGTGAAAGCACCCCCGACAGTGGAGGTTCCCACTACATGGACGCCTACCGTGATCCCACTGGTGAGCTATCACTGTTTATCGCTTAACTTACCAGACAGCGCGTCATCCATCTCCCAGGAACGCTTTATGACCCGCGACTCTCCTATCCTGAGCTTCCTATCGCGAACATTCATCTTTCGAAGGTCCGTCGTTGACACAGTTATCGCTTAAACCGCATCGACGCTGTTTCACAAAGCACATTGATCGTCTCAACAATAGTCGAATAAAGGAAATTTGAACGAAGGTGATTTTGTAGATGACATCACTTCCTTGCGAGTGCAAAAGGTGTTAAATAGTAGTAAGGGGACTACTAATCGTGTTATGCATCAGGTTTATCAGGTTTCGTAGATAAAGAGTCTAAAAACATTTGATCCCTATTCAGCCAGTAGTAGAATCATCACCTTCCACGACTACTATGGAACAGTAATAAACTAGAATTTCTTGTCTGCTGTACGTTTGTGCATTAATGTATACTTTAGTTTCTTCTCAAAGTAATTTCTATTTTTCTGAAAATACCAAGTGTTTCTATGGAATTTCCTATAACTTGGAGAAAGAAACGTCTGTTAGAAACTCCAGGTACTGAAGTCATTAGGGATTTTATTAAATCTTGCACAGAATATGCAGAATCATTTTGACCCAGTTGTAGCTGCATCGTGTTCTTTGTTCAAGGATGGGCGAGAGTTTACTTGAACAAGGCAGAAGACATAGAATACTTTAGAAGATACAAGGCTAGAGAATTCAATTTGCTTAAAGAATATTAAATACTGTAATATTTCAACACGGGCAAAATTGTCTTTTATATTTATCGGGAAAAATGTGTTAATAAGAACTTTGATCAGATACATTTCGTATATCGAAATGCTATTTTTTTAAAATAGATGCAAGTGGGTTAATGTTGTATACCCATTTCTGATTCTTGAAATAACTCGAACAAATCTTAATGAATTATTTAAAATGTTCTCTGCATACGATTCATTTTTAATCGATAGCAGACATACATAGATGGACCGTGGACTTCATCGAAAACATAGCGATAATATATTTATTTTCCCGTTGCATTTTAAACAATTTACGTTATATTTCTAGCTGTGCAGTGTGACTATTCCGCATGACAGTGCACGCCATAGTGATCGAAGCGTAACATGGTATTAAACGAAATTGCTACGTAATAGCTCAGTCAATATGACGACAGTATGATGCAAGCGAGTTCATATTTGAATTGACAAACATCTATTAATAAAATTAATTCATAAATTATGAACAATATTTTGCTATTTAAACATGATTTATACAAGGTCGCAAAAGTTTGTATTGCTAAAAATTATCGTCTTATTCGAAATTTTTTTTTAACACTGTAATATTATGTCACTAATATTTTAAGTAAGTGCATCATAGAAATGCGTTCAAAATTTGTCACGATATCTTTAATCGTGAGCTGGTAATAAAAAATCATAAGTTTCATTTATTTCTGCTAGAATATCCACTCCCGTCTAGTAAAGGTGCAATAATAAATAGGTTATTCTGTTCCTCAATATATTTAATAACTGAAAATAGGAAATGGAGCGTGTACGACAATTTCCAGGCCAATTAGTGGGTAAACGATTTGAAAATGTCAATGTTTTAAGGAACAGCGTTGAACTTTAATAAAAAATCAAAGAAGTTTTGTAGCGACGATAGAATGGCTGTGCTGAAGTAAGAGGAGGGACCTGTCAACCGAGAAGAGATTTACTAATTTTCATCAAATTTCATATGTTTAAAATATTACTTTAAATTATAGTGCACTCAAATCATTACACAGTCTCCATTGGACGAACACCGACATATTATTAATCACCTATTGCTCATAGGCAAATTATAAATTTTTATAGGAAAATAGCAAAAAAGAATTATAGTACAAAACTCGACACGAACACATGGAACGACCTAATATCTCATCAAATGTTGAGTATCCCGATCAATTGAATTTTTTTCTTCATTAAATATTTACGAAGTCTCGATAAAAACTTAACGAGTCGTGCAGTTCCCTGCCCCTCCAAATAGAGACGCTAAAGTGAATTATACCAACGAACGTCGTAGGAGGAGGGGATGACGAAAGCGTGTGTTCTTGACGTTCTAAATTTCTGGCAGCTGTGCTCGGGGTACACGCGAAGCGTGAGCATGTCGCTGCATCGGCGGCGTGTAACGGTGAACGATATGGGGGATGCAGGGCGGAGATCCAACGTACAAGGGATACGAAAAAGAACAAAGAGCTCGACGCCCTAGGGGGTAGGCAGGGAGAGGAGTGGAACGAGCGCGCGATACGCGGTTACAACCGTCGAATAAAAATTCGTCAGAACAGTACATGACTGCCATAATAGGCACCTATGGCCCGACTCTCATTTTCCTCCGGTCTCTCTGTGCCTTGGCATTCCAAACCTACAGCCCATTCTCTTCGTCCCTGTCGGCACCTCTCCCTGTCCATCTCTTTCCCTCTTCGCCCTCGTCCTCTTTTCCCTGCTCTCATTCTGTGGATGTGCACGGGCACCCTTCCTACCGGACCGACGTTCTCTCTCCCCCCCTCCCCCTACCACCCACGCCCCCTCCCTGTGGCGGTACACGACCATTGTTAATTATCAATATTTCGCGTACACGTAGCCGGCAAAAGTCCGGCGCGGCCAATATTGTGCGGACTCCGACGCTGGGGAGTAGTTATTGAAATTGAAACATTCGAGCACACAGCGGCTGATGTTCGTTCGTTCGGCGTCGTCGTGTTCGCGCGCGACGTCGCGCGACCCTTCGTCCGTCGGCTATTTGCACTGCAGACGAAATGAATTCTTGCGGGTAAATAAATGCGTAGATTTTACAACGGTTAATCAAGCGACGCGTCGCCTACCTACCGTGCCTTTGCGACGAGCCTCTGTCCGACTTCTTGTTTTTTCGGCGCATCTTTGTTTACTTCGTTATTGTGCCCCGTACGCGGGCAGACGCCATTCTCATCAAATCGACAGAGGCTGGTAGTACGCGCGTCCGTGTTCGTATCGTTTCTGTTCGAGTTTTTGTCGCTTTATTATACGTTGCTGTTCGTGTCCTCCATTTGAAAAAAATAGAGGCACATTTTGCCGAGGAAGTTGGATTTCTAATTTAAAAAATGGTAAATGTCGAAGTTCACTTGAAACTATTTTAAATTTATATTTAACGTCGTACGCTTAATTTTTGTTACTGAATTTTAGTTTGCCTTTGTCTAGAATTTGTAAATATTACTAATCTGCTTTCCGGAATGATAATGGAAAATGCATTTTTGTATCACTTAACGTTTTACTTCTTCAGCGTCTCTTCATCTCTATTTAAAAAATTGCACAGTAATTAAGTCGTTCGAGATATTATCTACTTCCTTGAAGATCTTTGAAAGAAGAGTACAAGTTATCGTGTCTCAGACAATCGAACATTAATTCGCAAAGATAATAAATAACAAGATTTACCGTAACAACGTTTACCGTATTCTTAGTTGTTTACAGTAAAATTTCATAACGCAAACGTCCGCTGCAAATAACTAGCGAAGAAAGTGTAATCATAGAATCCGTCAAAAGTTCAGACAGGGTTTCGATGTCTAATTTAACGATCTCTTCGTTTCTATGACAATACTGAAATAGCTACGCTATGGATATGGATGACTAATTGTTTTCGTAGAGTATTTGTGTACGGAATTAAGTTATAAATGAATTTTGTTCCTAGGATATGGACCAATGAGCCCGCATCCAGGCTACGGAATGACAGGCGTTCAGCCGGAATATCCAGGGAACACTTACACCCCTTACCCCACCGCTGGTTACAATTGCGGTGGAACTTATCCCGGAGGCCCTGTGACTTCCGGTTACCAAATCCCAGCTGGATACACGCCGACACCTTGCTACAGTATGCCGCCCCCGCAGCACACGGTCGGGCCTCTCGATAAACCCACGGGTAAAGACGATAGGTAAGAAACTCGACTATTTGTTTAAAATAATACCACGATTATTGAGAAAATTCCGGTTCATCGGGAACTTCACGTTCTGAACCGTGTATAGAAAACAGGAGGATGCTATTTCATACTTAAATGTAACCCTTACTTTCACAAAATTGATATATTGCTTGCTTGTAACTTAATTGGTTAAAGATACATCAGGAACAAACATAAGTAATGTCGTTTTGTTGCTTGCATTGTATTTTTCATATATTTCAAGTTTCGTAGCTTATTTCGAATATGATTTTGACTTCAGTATTTATAAGTTTCACGTTAAGATTAGGATTGAGTGGTTTCGGAAAACTATTGGCTATGCATTTTTTTAAATTTGTAGAACGTGTTTCTACTTTTAGAAAACATTGAGACCTGTTAAACTCAACGAAGTTTTGAAATTGATTTTTATTAGTGTACTTAATCTCTACTTTCTAAATTCTTTAAATTGTTTATTGATCATGTAGCTGGTCTCTTCAGACACAGATTCTATTTTAAGCAGATCTAGTGTCCTTAAATGGTCAGCTAATTTCGATCCAACTTACTCTAAAGTCCTAAATCATCACATGCAAAACCTAAAATGCACTTATTAACCTCACTTGAAACTTCTTTGAAAACTCATAAACATTTATTTCTCAAGTTACTCTAATTATCGTAACTTGGAAGTAACCATTCATACAAGACACAAGATCGATTAAAATTCTCAATTATTTCAAGTGAAACGATTCGTCCCTGAAGAGGTCATCTGAAGCAAAACATACGATATCGATACCAGTAATTATCAAAAGAAATCTAAACAATTTCTAGAAAAACGACATTACTTCCTTTACGTTTCGTTATAGTGTATGTAGAGTATAAGTAAAAAGTAAATCGAACTACAATGAAACGCAACGGGCGTTCTGGTTGGCCCGTGGCGTTTTAACGAGCTGGACAAACGTCCACGGATACGATCGCGCATGCGAGGATCGCAGATTTGGTACTTGCCTTGCGGAAAGGATCGCGCGAATCTCTCTCGCGATAGGTTCGCGGCTGAAAAGGCACGGAGGCAACGACGGCTAACGTCAGCGTAGAGGGAGGCGCAGGTCGCGCATACCTACCTCCATTTTGTTAATTAAAGTAATTACTCTTCGTACCGAAAGTGCCAACCTTATTCTAATTGACGTAAAGCTCGGGCGGTATGGTGGAGAAGGCGCGGTTCGGCGCATAAGGAGAGGAGGTGGAACGAGGGTGTGGGAGGCGGTGAGCTGCCAAGGGTGGATAAGGTCGAAAGGGGAGGTGGGGTATAATCAGTTGCCACCGCACTGGATTATGGGGCGAGACCCGCGTCGTCCCATCGAGGTTAGACCCTTGAAATGCACCTCGGATACCTCGGGCAACACTGGTTTCGTTTCTTTTCTAATCTCCGACCAGCCTGGAATTTAACGTCCTTTGTTGCGTCGGTGTTCCGGGAAGTCTCGTAGAAAACAGATTTAATTAATGCAGAGTACGCGAAAGTGTCGTTCCCAGGCTTTAAATTTACACGGTACCTACTCGTCAAAATGTACAACATTGTGCAGAGAGCCCTCGAGCTTCACGGATTCGTAGATACGCCATTGTGGTTCTTACTTATGCTCTTGTATATGTTTTGGGTTACATATTCCTGTACAAAATGGAATTTCTTCGATTTGTCGTCTCATGGAAAAGTCCTTGGGGGTCTGTTTACTTTTTATTTATTTTAAACGAAGACTATATACTGAATATATTGTAGGAAGGAAGAAGGATCTGTCCTAGTGGAAACTAGTTGTACTGAGTCAGACGTCTTAGAGAACTTAATTATCGCGTAAATTCGTTCTAAAATGACGAGCATGACTCATAAGAAAGGGGGAAGACACTTACCACAACCTTAGGTAGGCGTAGAAGAAAATTTTTCATGTGAAAATGTGTGGATAATTTAAACATTTTATTCCATTGTTACATTGAATATAAAAGTTTAACGTACTGTTATAGTATATTTTTCTTGTATCACTAACACTTATAATGGGCGTAGATAATTCCTGTCTTTTAGAAAGGGGAGCATCTAGAAAATAGTAGTATCACATTTTCAACATTAGACTAATTTTTCTCTGCTTTCTACACTCTATAATTATAACCTACACTTCTTTCTTCCTATAATAATAATACATTTTCTTTCAACTTGTTGACCAAGAGCATCGTATAACTTTATTACTTCATCTGTACATATTCTAGTTTTCAAAAACATCATGACATTTGAATTAATACATACTGCGTAATATTTGCATTTGTCGTGGAACAAGATCCTATCTAATCTAAAACGGTAAAAAATGACTAATATTTTACATCCCCTAATCAATACTTGTTAGGAATAATTTCAGTAGGAAAGATCCATACAATGTCATTTATGGGTTAATATGAAGTTTCATTTTTATCAGCAGTCCTTATTACCTTCGTTCATCCTTCGATCAAATTCTTTTCTCGAAAATCCGTACCCTTGAAGGAGCTACTCGAAATAATTAAATAGAAAAATCTTTGTCGCCACAAACGTTTCGACAGTGTTCACCGACAAACTCTGATGAAACGTGGTGGACGAAGGACGAGGGATCCAACAGCGTGACTTATCGTTCGTTCGAAGGCAGAGGAAAGTGGTTAGACGGAGGTTGGAAAAATACGAAGGCAGAGCATTCGTTGGGAGGTGGGGTGTATACCGGTGAATTGCACTCAAGTCCGCATCCGTCGGCTCGGTTGGCCGGCAATATCGTGGCCACTCAAGGGTCATCGAGGTTTTCGAGGCTTCTCATAGCCCGCGGTAGTTCGTTCATCTACGAGACTACGAGGAGACGAGAAAAAAGCAGAAGCAAACTGCTCTCGGACTCTGATCCGCGTATATTCCTTCCTCCTCCTCCTGCGCCCACTTCCCGCTCTTTCTCCACCGGGCGAACTTTTCAGATTTTTTCTCTCTCTCGTGTGTCGCTATCACGCCCGCTATCATACACGGGCTCCCTCCCTCTCGCCGTGAGAAGGAAAAGTTGCAAAGCGCAATAAAACTTTCCGTCGTTATCCCGCTCTCTAACGATGAAACGCGCCGATTGCGTTGCGGCCTCGTTCGTACGCTGGATGCTCGATGGGTGACGTGCTTTCGAGACCTGAAAAGATCTATTTCAAGATGAAATACGAACCCCTGTTGGAATTTTCACCACGCCTTCGAAATTTACGAAGAACGCCATTTTGCTTTCAATAATTTTGTCCTTAGATGAGATGTAAACATGAGTACAAATGTGTAACAAAAGAGGGGAATAAAAATAACTAGATCGCGAAAGATTTAACAAGTAAATTCCAGTTCATATAATAATAGAATTTAATAATAATACGCTTCGAGTGTTTGTTGTCACAAAATACTCGATTAATTCATCTATCGTTCAATGACCCATAATATCATTCTTTTAATGTTACCGCAATATGATGTATCGTAAACAAGTTTAATTTATCCGACTTTCGAAGAATATTTTAAATTGAAAAATTTGATCGTTAAAAATAAATATGCAATCTTCGACTGATCGATCTTATCGACTCCAAGTTAATTAGCCTTGTGTGACAAACAGTTTCCATACATGCACGAGGGGTCTAGAATTTACACAGATTGCTATTATTTTAAATATATCAGAAATAGAAAAATAAAATCAATAAGACTCAGAGTAGAGTACATAAGAGTAATACGTAATCATCTTATGGGAAGGTTGAATTCACCTAATTGTGAAACATGGGGAACCCAAGCCATGATTAAACATATGTACTCACTGATTGAATACAGGTGGTACGGGGAACATAGGTCTACTCCCAGAGGGTTACTGAATTCCTTCAAAATATTAATCTACTGAATAAGCTCGAGATCTAGGACTACATAGTCACCATTCGCCATTAATAACACATGAAACTGTAAACATATATAACGAAAATCCAATTAATATGAAATATACAGAGCATGGAAATAAATGTTACTTTAAGTATTTAAAAGAATATAATTCGAGAAAGTAATTACTTTAAATAATTGCATGAGATTGAAACTTGATCGGATAAAAATTTAACTATTCGATCGAATAAATCTCACGAACAATACATTTATTGATCATCTTGACAAAATTAGAATGTCCTGAATTTTATAATTTGATACTTTCGTGCAAGTTTCAAACCGTTTTGACATCCGACAAAAATACTCTTTTTCGTACAATAAATAATAAGTTTGCTACGACGAGCAATATTATCGTGCATCATTTTGAATCTGTTACTTGAACACATCACCTTGCCCTCAACGTGACGCTATTAATCTTTTTAACAGTTTCCAATTACTCGACAGGTTTATTAGAACATAGTTTGAACAGATTGTGTCCAATGATTAATAGTATCACGCTTGAAGCAGAATCTCTTACATAAGCCTTACCAATAATATCACCCTTCCTACAAAAACTATTAATATTACCAAATCAAGAATCGATTACGAGGGCATACAAATCTCTTACCAATTATTCTCCTACAAAAACATCATAAACAATATTATTAACAGTAATTTTGGAAGCAAGCGTATTCTCAACAAGGTTTAAAGTCAACCTCAACAAATTTTAAAAACTTCAACGCGAAGACAAAACTAAACCTTTGTTGTCATAACGTTAAGAATATACCTTTGCTCTTAATTAGTTTTAAGTGATTTTATCTATTGTATTTTAACCTAGTCCACGATAGGACTTGAAGTACCTTTTGGAACAGATCTTTTCGGATCTCAAAAGTAACTGGAGGGTTGCTTGAAATAACGAAATTTTTCTTACGAATTGTTTATCGTCATCCACTGTACGACGTCTGGCAGCGATCGCGCGGTAGTCGAGCATGAAACGGTTAGAAGCAGGCATAAGAGAGACGAGCAATCGCGTTGAGAGTGTTTTATTGTTGATGTTGTTCGGTGCAGTATGAATATGAGGCGGCACTCGTTGAATTTTGCACCTCGTCCCGCTCCTCGTGGTCGCGATGGCAAGGAGCTGATACAGTGCCCCACGTCGTCCTGTGATGGCATGGGTCATGTCTCGGGGAACTACGCTACCCACAGAAGGCAAGGCAGCATTGGCATTGACACTGACATTAACATTGACGACGACATACGATTATGTATATTTATATATTGGTATAGCGATGCAGCACGCACTCACGCACGCTGGACTCACAGGAACACACGCAAACACGTACATTCCAGAGACCTTAGTATCCTATTGTCACGGTCCAAAGCAGATTTGCTTACTAGTAAGACTATTCGATAATAAAATAGAATATTTTATATACTACGAGATTCGCAAATATATAATTTTGAAATGCTACTGGTAACTGTTTCAAAATAGCTAAGTCAATCGTATCATTTTTATTTATTTTTAAATGAATTTGTATTGTTAGTTATATGGTGAAAATGTAGTGTTTTATTTAAGTAGTTTAAAGTATTTTTAATTAAACACAAATAACTATCCTTCGTTGGAGAATATATTTTATAGCGATTTGTGAATGTGTAAACCTTTCTATTTTAGTCAACTTTTAATGCATTTTTCACTGATATTTAAGTGACTTCTATGGGTCAAACCAGTTTTCAATTTCATTTTTGACTCTTTTAAACCTGGAATCTTAACGCAATTTCAAGGTTGGGATTTATTATCTGGTAGCTTTTCTTGTAACACTTTTGGACAAATTATAGATGTACAATGTAAAATATATTGGGAAAGATTATTGCATAATTATATAAATATATATGTATATATAACATACATGTACAAATATGCATTATACATTATACGATTCTTAATTTTAGTTAAATCACATTTTTGAAACTCTTTCGACAACGCATTTAAATCTGTGCTATTTTACCATCAATCGAATAGTCATGCTAGTTAACATTCTGGCGATGGACGTTAGGTTCATGAAGACCCATTCCTTCTAGGGGCCATAGACATAACGATTGATCGTGTGAAGAATTGTACAACTACAATAACAATAACAATTCATTCTTGTCTAATAGAAATCATGAGTTATTAATACATTGAATATCATAATGGTAGTTTATGACCAACGCTTCAATCTAATATTTCTTTAATGTATTTGCAATAAATGATCTGTAATATTTGTATACTTTTAAATAACATCACTGGCATTAGTATAGCTGTAAAATAATAATACTATTAATCTCTCGAATATTTCTATTTGACGTGGCTATCAATGTGTTAATAATCTTATTACAAACCAAGTAGCATTAAAATTGTCTATTCTTTCTTTTCGAGTCGATATTAAAAGTTCTCAGTACAATTTCAATTTTAAAGCAAATGCATTAAATCGTAATTGTTTCATTTCATGACCACGTCTATTATTTTTTAATAAATAACACTTGGATGCTATTATTACACTTTGGAGTATTGTAACGTCGATTCATCGTATGATTAATCGTAATGTCTGTAGCCCTTGTTAGGTTTATTCCATCTTAGAATCTGACCAAATATTTGCATTGTAGTTTGAGCAACAGCACTCCCTTCCATCCCACGCTCTTGACAGAATACATTCTGTTGGCAATTTATCACAGAAAGAATTAGGAATCAGTGTTGCAGAATTTGAAAATCGGAGTTTAATTGAATAGAATAGGCCAAGAGCTACAAAGTACAAAACTATTTTCATAAAAATATAATAGAAAATGTGTTGAATATTTAAAACGTATGTATAATGCTTGTGCAAATATATATTTTCTTCATCTTCTATCATGATTAATAAGATTAATAAGAGGAAACTTACCTTAATTTTTATAGATTATTTTCATTTTTAAACTCAATAATTGATTCTTTTTCGTATAGAATTTCGAAACAATAAAGATATATTTGTATTTACTACGACGATTAAAAAAAAATCATTCTAAAAGAAAAACAAAAGTGATATTACTTCATTATAACAAAATCAGCATTATTTGAATCAAGTAATTTATTACACAAGTTTAGCGACCAATTTTTGTGTCCAATAGATAAACAAATAATCGTAATTATAAGAACCTAAGATAACGTACGATCGATAGGATGATGATGATTTCAAATTGATTTTCTAAAACATACAACACACAACATAACAAAACACCGTACATGTCCGAGTAATGTCACGAAATTGCGAGACATAGATGGGTTTTTGCATCGATGCATATTGGTGGTCCGTGGCGTAGTGGCTTCTTAAGTGTTATGTGACACTGATCGTTTGTCTAGAATACCCGTTCACCTCCATTTCCTAGCTAACCAAGTCTTGTACAACCTACTCGATATTGTTGCATATCTATATTTTAATTATACGTGTGAATACCCATTTGACATGATTAGCTAATTACGTTAAGCGTACGATGTAACGTTTAAGTTTGATTATTTTTTTTCTTTATCTATCACGGTCTGTCTATATTTTCGTCACTTTTTCCATTTGTGTACTATTTTACATTCCGTATCCCTTTTATTGCGTTACCGTACGATATATTATTCCAAAGTGTGTAGATGAGTTTCGTGTTGAATGAAGTATTTGCTCCCCGTTTCGACCCGACCCCTACGAAAAGGGATGGCAAAATCATTGAGACTAAGATCGCGGCGAAGAGCAGTTGTCGCGTCTACGACGCTTCCACCAGTCTGTCTTTAATCGTATAACGTTGATGTTCGTTTTCATATACGCATATAAATATATATATATATATATATATATACGAACACCGAACCCGCCCGTTTAAGAAACGCTTCGCCAGCCTCGAGTGGGCAGCTTCGTAGCGAACTGTTGTCAATGACCATGTCAGAGCAGAGCCAGATGTGAAAACGACGAAAGTAAAACGCGTGATCGTTTGACTAGAGAACGGAGATAAAACGACAATTGGCAATTGACGAGTTTCACTGGGGTCAGGTGTGAGTGTGCTCCCTGCTCTCCCCTTCAGTGTTCCTAGAGTAAGGCTGACCTTGTATTGACATGAACCTGAAAACGCGATCGATCGTATACGAGCGACACCTCATGAGTGATCCAACTGGAACACGGCGTTGCCATTTGCATGCTTAACACACATAATTATACATCGTTGATTGCCCGTTTCGACTGTGCGACCATCCACCAAATATCCGTGAAATCGATATCGTTCACGTTTTCGAGAGAGAACGAGCGTACTTATAAGCTTACCTTGTCAATTGTCTTCGTTCGAACTGGACGCAAGGCAAGTCGTCCAAGAATCCAGCCGCGCAAGATGGCTGCCTCTTTAAAGTGACTTTAACGCGCACGCAGCCTCGATAGACGATCTCGGTGAGCTGAATCGTCCCGTCGTGTCGAGAAACGAAAAAATGCCGCAATAATGAGATACTGTTTATTTCACGAGGCTTCGATCGCCCATCGAGATCTTCTTTCATACATGGAACGTAAGTACTCGAGACTTCTTGGCAACGTCGCGTATATTGCATGCGATGTGTTGCTGAAGCCATCGTTGGATGTTTTTGAGGTGTGCGTTCGTGGTTCCGACCATGGGGATTGTCGCGCTACCGGGTGACATTTATCGCTCGAATCTCTCGATTCGTCTTGAAATTTAGTCTACGAGGCGGTGGCGCGTAATCGTCATGGTACGTTTCGAGCGAGTTTGAACAACGGGAGCTTTTGTTTTATTTGCAGCCTTTCCGGTTGCCCGCGGGCCGATCGTTCCCAGATCCAGGCGCACTCCCAGGAGCTGAAATGCCCTACGCCAGGGTGCGATGGTTCCGGCCACGTCACCGGGAACTACTCGTCTCACAGAAGTTTGTCCGGCTGTCCGCGAGCCAACAAACCGAAGAGCAAGCCGCGAGATGGACAGGACTCCGAGCCATTAAGGTCTGTCGCTGTTGACGTTGCTATAATTCGCGGTAGAATCCGCTTGAATTTATCTTCGATCTCTTGTTAGAACGATCTTTAAACCCCGCCGTTCGAGACTGTTCCTCGCGAAATCGTTGAAAACAATTACAACACGAAACTTATCTGAAATCGGTGCAATTGACTCCCGGCGGATCTTATCGCTGGATGAGATAGAGTAGAATTACTCGAGGGAGGATTCCAGCCTCTTGCAAACTCTGCAACTTGTTGTATTCCACGTAATCGCGATCTCAATTTGCGCTTTCACCGCGTTCGCACGTTGCACGCAGCTACGCGGTTATCTTCCTGACCACATTGCACGTACCAAGATCCACCAGGAGACCGAAAAGGGAAGATCCCGACCCTTTTGGAACCGTATCCCTTAACCCCATCCATTTCCTAAATGCAAAGACGAAGACGCTGACTAATAACTAGCGGTTTCCGCTCATTTCATGCTCACTCTGTGTGGATGGATTGTATGGTGTTGGTAATGGCGGTGTTGGATTTTCGGACGACAGATGTCCAATCCCGGGTTGCGACGGCTCTGGCCATGCCACTGGCAAATTCTTGTCGCACCGCAGGTAAGACTTTCGTCGATTTATCGTCGGAACTAACTAAAAATTCTTTTCCCGCTTCTTTTAGGACACTACACTGTTGGTATAGCAATATTATTACCACGTTGATTGTCCCTATGAAACTGTTCATACTGAATACGAGTAGACAACAATGATATTTTATTGCAATAAATGTTACAACTATAGAATATTTTTTGGGTGCTATTAACATTGCACATATTTTTATCGAAATCTATCATGTTGATGATTTCATTAAAATGCAGTTTCTCTTTTAATTAGAATATAGTTGCACACCATTAGATCAATGAAGTTCAATATAAATTTTTAACAAATAATATTTATGGCTCCTGTAACTTTAAATATTAGTGTAATTATATTTTTTCAAATTAGTGAGACACTCAACGTGTTAATATATTTTTCGAGGCTTTTAGGTGTAGGCCATATTCTTTTGACAGTGTTCAGTTATTTTGCTAATATTATAATTAACTGTAGTAGGAGTTTGAAAAACTGTAGACACAGTGTATCAGTTGATTAAGTTGATGTAACAACGAAATCAAAACTGTTATTGAATATAATATTTCTTTTTATTCAATATATGTGCATATATTATAGAAAACTTTAGCAAAACATTACAGTGCATTTTATCCAAATCTGGATTTCATATCTTCTCATACCACATTTAAATAAAAATGCCAGTAAGAAAATGATTTTCAGAATTCTTCTCTAAATAGGATACTAATACTTAGCTGCTACTTTAACAACATCTGTACCAACTTACAGTTTATTTACTTTGATCAATCAAAGTCATTGATGATCGTAAAGTGCTTACAAGTATCACTGTGTGTATTTACTATCGATGATAAATCTAGATGCCATACCGATGACACGAATATTCTTTTAAAATAACACGATTTAAACGCAGAAGCCTCAGACAGAATTAGCTATAAGAATTCTAATCGCTGATTTGATATTATTTTTACTGTTAACGTAATAGTTATTCCTGAAAAATGGATCCAATTCAAGACTCGTTGTAACTTACATCTTCCCATGAACTTGGAAGTTACAAGAATAGCAGTAATCTATTAATTACGTAATTGGACTCCGATTTCAACCTTGACCTGTTATTCGTAGTTGCTGTAAACTATTGCTGTTTAATAGTAAATTTCCTTATGCTGCTTTAACCCTCTCTGCATCTATTATTACGACTATACATGGCGTACATACATAACGCAGCATCAACTATAGTCGATGTGCATTGACTTCTCAAGGCCATTTAGAGCTAACATTGCAATTTTGTCGTATACTTCACTTTATCATTTATTTTAAATCTAACAGATATAAACATCCATAGAAAAGGGATGACAAATTGAATAGATTTGATTGGTAACAAAAGAGCAAATAGAGGACACATTCATACAGCTTCGAACGAGACTTGCAATTATACTGTATGGTAGAAAGTAGTTTTTAACGTCACTTACAATCGAGAAATTGATCTTCAACTACCAAATAAGTTTAGCCACCGCATTCACTTGAAACTAAAATCACTATATCTCCGGAACTAATAAAGCTATCGCCTTGTACAAACGCTCGTTTTAAAGGGAATTTCATCCTCTATCCGATGTATATACCAACTACTATAATTTATGCTGTCTTCTATGTTTATTTTCACATTTACATTGACGCTACATACCCAAAGACGTTTCAACAATTCCTATCGATTATACGACTAATGTGCAATATAACTGGATTATAAATTGTTTATTTAACTGAAAATTAATTTAAATACGTAACAACTAATTTCTTTCCAAATCTCCAAACTAGGCAGGCCTCGCGATCCTTAGACTTAACATTGCAGCTAGAAAGGTTGAAATATTCGTCATTAGGGCCGATGAAATGATATAACTTCAACGTTGGTGACTTTTGTTGCAGCGCATCTGGCTGCCCCATTGCCAACAGGAACAAAATGCGTGTACTGGAGTCGGGAGGTACGGTGGAGCAGCACAAAGCAGCGGTGGCGGCGGCGACGGCGATGAAGTTCGAGGGTGTCAATTGTCCTACGCCAGGCTGTGACGGAATCGGCCACATAAACGGCTCTTTCTCGACTCACAGGTCCCTATCCGGATGCCCCATAGCCGGGCACGCGGTGAAGAAGCCCAAGTTCGAGGACATGTCTAGCATGTACAGCAAAGGAATCGCCGGTGAGGATCAAGCTGCCTCTGATGTCATTGATGTCCTCGATTATCGATACCCACCACTGTTAATCGAAGAATAAGAGAAAAACTGCGGGCCGGCTCTGCGTGAGGCGAGTCGATGAAATCGAAACCGTAAAATTCAATGTCCATGCAAATTGGAGACTCCATTCACGCTGGGCTACGGACCTGATGTTGCGACATGTGATTGCCTACCGAAATGAGGTAGAAGAGAAGTTCTAGAGTAGGCATGATCATCTAAGTTTGCCTTTTATTCTTTTTCTATGCTTCCATGTCGTACTCGTCCAGGCGAATTCTCTCTTGATAACGGCTTGAATATTTATCGAAACGACGAAGAATAATCGAGATCTACGAGCCATTTGAATCGCGTGAAACGCAAGTTGGACGAGTCGACGCAAAAAAACCGTGACAAAATTATTGAACCTTTATTTGTAAAACTTGTGCATATATAACCTTGTACTTGATCCCGTGCTATGCCATACTCTACTCTTCACGCAATGATGTGCTGTCATACCAACAAGAGTAACCTCGTCCTTCTTCCTCTCCCACATCTCTCTGCCCTTATATATATTCAGTTATTTCATTTGTCGTTTTTACTTGAGTGTTACGTTTCAATTCTCGTTCCCCCTTTTTTCTGTGAAACATTGCTATCCAGGTGTTTTCGAGGTCGCTTCGCTTAAAATAGCACTGAGACACGCGAAGTGTTCTTTTAAACCAGCAACGGGAATGAGAAACACCTGAACTCTGGAAACCCTCGACTTCCAACTGTGTCACATTTTTTTACCTCCCCCTCCCCCATTCCCCCCCTCCGATAACGAATCTGGCCCCCGCGATAATCCTGCTCCCACAATTATTATGTGCAAGAAACGAAATGTAAAGCCAAAACAAAGAAAGAAAAGCAACCGTATGTCATAATAATGAAAAATAATATATTCTGATTTATTCTGGGATCACGATCAGCTCCTTTCCTGTCATTGAGCTTTGAGGAGAACATTTACTTTTGAAGGTAAGGGACTGACGTACTCGCAATTTGTTTTCTATGTGTTTTCGGTGTTACATACAAAATCCACACACCAGTAATTTTACTTTTACGAGATGACGACCGAGTGTTGGCAGCATCGGGGAGCTTCTATGCCCAGTGACAGCTCGAAACGATACGTTTCGCGATATACTCGGCACGCGAGGACAATGTCTATCGAATAAGAAAAAAAAAAAAAAAACGAAGAGAAATGTAAAGGCCAGCACTCGGTGTCTCCCATTTTTTTCTTCTATCTGGTATGATGGCACCTCACGCTACCTTAAACACCCTTAACTGACATTGTTCCCGAATCATTTTGTTCCTGCGGCACTCCTGTCAGGTTCGTGCGTCTGTCGATGAGCTAGCGAAGTCACTCGTACCGCCGAATGTAACCAGTCTTGTCATTACGCCTACGGCTAGAATAACTTGTCCATCACTTCAGCACGAACCACTCGCAGAAGAAACCGTAACCGATCCCGCATTTCAGACAAAATCCTAACGCAGCGACTTGGGACAGTTTCCGTTGCCCGGCCAAAGCGACCCGCGTCGCGTTGATTAACGATAATAACGATCCGTTTCATATTCGATGAACGATTCTCACTACCGGGCCGACCCAAATCGCTGAAACCATTCCTGGCGCTACTTACATGCTCGCCACATTCTCACATTTTATTGTATATATTTATATATATGAATCCCGCACACCTGTTAAGAAAACGTATTAGTACATTACTCTCTGTAACATCGAGTCGCTTCCGTACGAGTGGACGGGGCTCTTAACGAGCTGCGGTTCGTGATTGGGTTGAGGACATTCTTGGCTTTCTGGCAGTTTCCCGCGTGCACGCTTGCACCCTCGATAATTGCTGTTTCGTTAAACGTTTACCGATCCATCTGTCGAACGAGGTCGTGACGATGTTTCGAGAGCAGGCGTTCGCGCGAGGAGGCTGTCAGAAATCGAGAAAAATTATGTAACCGACAGAGGACGAACAGGCTGTTTAAAGTAGACCCTGTATGTCGTATATTCAGGAGTGGACACCAGTGGTCCGGCTCACGGGGGTGCGGTGGGTACGGTTCAGGGTAACACGAGTGGTAGCGGTACCGCCACTGGTCAGGGCGAGGATCTCTACACACTGGAGGCCGAGATTACGGAACTCCAGAGAGAGAACGCTCGGGTCGAATCGCAGGTGCTGCGCTTGCGCTCCGATATCACCGCCATGGAGAATCAGTTGAAGCAAGGTGAAAAGGTCAGTACACGGTTACTCGGTCGGTAATCGATTATTACCGTACGAAGATAGAGGAGGTCTGGAAATTCCCGATTATTAATAACGTAGAGATTGGTCGAATTTGGGCTGAGATTTGTCAGAGCTAAGCCGGCGATATCGTGTTGAGTGTTGAATTTTTACGCTATCGAGAGATTTAAGTATTAACTCTGAGAGTTTGAGCCCGGATCAGCTGGAATCACAAAACCCTGAAACCTGTAGTTAATGTGGAGTGCCATTCCTATTAGTTGTTGGTAACAGTAACGTGGAATTTTTCCAAATTTAGGCTGAAATTGTTGGATTTAAGCTAACCGTGTTATTTTAAATGTTTAATTTGATCGATATCAGAAGTTACAGTGGTTGAATTTTGTATTTCTGATAGTTTCAGCCCAGATTAACGTGGACTGTTATCAGCAAATCCCAATACCTGTAGTTAATGTGGAGTGCCGTTGCTACTAGATGTTGGTAATAATCACAATTTTACCAAATTTGGGCTGAGACTGTCTGACATATATTGTGTTATTTTAAATGCTTAATCTAGTCAATTCGAGAACGTACAGTTAAATTTCAGTGTCTGAAAGTCCCAGCCAAGATTATTCTTTAATCATTAAATCCCAAATCCTGTAGTTAATATTAAACGTAGAATGTTGATCTTACTATTTGTTGGTAACAATAACGATCACATTTGGGTTCAGACTGTCAGACATAAATCAACCAATATCATTTTAAACATGTGATTTTCGTGTAGTATCACAAGTGCTGATACGCTGATGTCTGAAAATCTCAGTCCAGATTAACGTGAACCGTGACCATCAAATCCCAGAACCTGTAGTTAATGTAGAATATTGTTGTTACTGGACGTTAGTAACATGGAAACTTACTGAATCTAAGTTGAGACTGTTGAACGAAACTTGCCAATTTCTAAAAGTCTCAAATCGAGTTGAGTATTATTCGAATAAATTGTTATGCGTGATAATGATTCATTGGAATAAAATTTTATTCGAATAATCTTGCCAAAACAAAAAATAAGCTGGATCTCATGACTAGACATCTCATAACTCATTTTTTATTAAAATTCACTTTAATATGATTATCCTAAAATTTAGACATTCAAACAAGAAAATAGATTTCAAATATAATAAATACTAGACAAAGAAAAATTGCATTTATGTACACAGTTTTGTACTAGGAAGAAACATTTTGGGAACCTATGATAATATTAAAATTTCACTTTTCCATTCAGTTGAATGTAACACTATCATCAATAGTAAGTTTGCATATTATTAAGTTTAAATTGAGATTGTAAGAAAATTAGATATATTTTAGTATCTGAACAAAAATTAACAAACGAAAGAGAAGTTTCACTAGCTTCGTAGTGGATCCGCGCCCCTAAACGATCAACCCTTGCAGTTAACGTAGAATTCTTCTTACCAACTATTGGTAAAAGCGATCGTTCAACCCCTATTTTGTAAAAACTCTAAAGTGTATTTATAATAAAAGGGTTCGCTTTGCCACAGGAAACAACGACGATCGCCCAGCGGAACAACAACCTGACCGAGTACTACCAGTCGCTGCGCGATAACATGATAACGTTGCTGGAGCACGTACGAATACCGAACGCCCCGGGCGGACCGCAGGAGAAAATGGGTCACGAAAACTTCGACAGTTACCTAACGAAGCTACAGACCTTGTGCACCGCCGATGGCTACTGCACGGACGAGGCCAACAGGCCGATATACGAGACGGTGAAGACCGCGCTTCAGGACTTCACGGTCCTACCGACACCCATCTGAGACCACCCTTAAAGCTCGATGATCGATTACAACGCGACACGGACACGTTTAACGCAGTGACCGAAGCGTTGTGAACGTTAAAGAAAATAATAAACACTGTTCGCGTGGTTGCAATTGGACACATTGTGCGTCGAAAAAACGAACGGGAATCGTGCGTCGTTAAATGTTGGAGGGGGAACTTTTTAATTGTAGGAAGAGACCCAAAGGACGTACCAAAGACAATGTTTTTACAAATTATCGGGTGATCTGGTTGCGTACCAGACGACGATGGTGCTTTCACCGATAAACGTCGTCGACTGTATAGACTGTTAGTAAATGTTACAACGGTATCTAAAAAGCATGCCCCACCCTCGATGGTTAGGGGCGATCTCGCGGACTGACGTTGCTCATAGCGATATCATTTTTTGTACATAATGAACTTGTACCACGTAAGTATTAAGGCCCGGTAGCGAAGACCGCGCAGTCATCGTGTAAATAGGAGGAGAAAAGCATTTATATTATTGGAGGTACGTAAACGCGATCAGTCTCACTAACGAGGCGTGTAAAAACGGAATGGCCAGGCGATAATCGAATGATCCAGCTTAGATGTATATCGGAAAAAAAAACGTACTGCTCTTACCAGTGTATAACTGTTACTACCCGTTAAGCAATCAACGTTTAAATTTAATGGAGACGAGGGAACCGCTGAATACGCTGCTTCTGCTGAACCGACGGCTACTTAATTATGAATTACTATTGCGTAATCATTACCGCTAGATACTATTATTACTACTATTGTCACTGTTACAACCACCGAGATCGTTTCTAGGATTAATCCAAGTCATTATTATTGCTACCACTAACTCTTATTACTGTCTGATATAGGGATATAGCGACGAGTATACCGACGCATTTATATTATCAACGAGAACTACGAACGGTGCAACACATTTGTCCATAGGGGGTGTACATAATCGCAAGAGAGACCACGAATGTCGCGCGAACGATCGACGAGGGTGCTCGTTGGCGTCTCCGTGCATTTTGCGAGACGCGATCGGGATCGTTCGCGCGACGTTACGAATTTTTCGGGATATACATGTCGAATCGTGAAACACGGTGTATTTATCGATGTCGCACGAAACGCGAGGACGCGATCGTTCTCGTCGCGAGTTAATTAATCAAGGACGAAGGATATACTCGTTCGTATGTGCAATAGGTTTTGTTCGTATTTCCGTTTTGGGAGAAATTTATCTTTGAACGCAGCGGGTGATAAAACGCGCGCAACGGCTGCATCCGCGCGAAGTTGTTATTGGTTTTTTCGTTGACGCATTTAGAAATCCCCGTACACGAATAAGTTTCCGTCTTTATAATGAATTGTAAGATACGCGAGGGACTCAGTGTAAATATATTTAACGCGTTGCGAAGCGACTGTCTTAGACACGTGTATCCTCTGCCTCTTTGACGCTCGAACAAATGGCGGACGCGTCGGACGGGACAGGTTTGACAATACGCGACGTTGTATCGGCGAACACGAGCGCGTTCGGTTCGTTTCTGGTATCGACAAGTATACGAAACAAAAAAAAAGTAAAAGAAATGAGAAAAGATATTGAAAATGATAATCGGTAGTAATTTCTTGCACGAGCGACGATAGGACTGCGAGACGATTCAACGGGGCAGAGATATCGGCTAGCAGTGCTTATTATTTTGCAGACTGAACGAATTTCGTCGCTGTTAGTAGAGACGCGAAGGTGTATATAAACGAGAGAGAGAGAGAGAGAGAGGGAGCGAGAGAACACGCGAGAGGTACGGGAGAATCAATTATTTGTCTGTACGAGAGCAGACGCGACGAAAGGTACCGCAAAAAAAAAAAACGAGGGATATACTTTAACCAAACACCGTGTAGTGAGGGTAATAATAAATTAAAGTATAGCGATAGTCGGCCGGCGATTACGATTAATCTCGACGTTATCATTATTCTTGTCATTGTCATTATCATTACGATTATAATTGCCATTGTCACTGTGATTAGATCTGTTCTTTTGCTCAACATAAATCGACACTGGCGGCGAACGGAAACGGTGAGGAACGCGCTCACGGTAAACGGTCGTTTCCGATCCTCTCGAGGTTACCATTCTGGATGATATTATTCCTATTATTGCCATTATTACCACTATTGTCGTTACGTTCTCGTCATTATTGCGATTATTATTGTTGCCGTTGATAAAGTTGTACGAACGTATAAGTTCAATGACATGCTTTAAGTAAGTATAAATGTTACTCCGATTGAATAAAGGGTATTTATCGACGAAGCCTGAACTCTTTCATTGCTCGATACGTGCACGCAAGTAGCTGTCGCGACGAACAAGCCGCGAATTTTGCAAAATTCACCGTGACGCTGACATAAGTTTATTAACGGATTTTCCTTAAAGTGTTGACTGCCAGACCAAAACCGTAAATTTTGTTAGGAGAACAAAACTTTGATTTTTGACAATTGTAAAGTATAGAACTTAAAATTTGTCTTAGTACGTATTTTCTCATAAAATTTATTTCCTTTAACATTTCATCTAGAGAACTTATTGTTTTATTTCCATAGTAAAGTCTTGTCACGCATAAACGGGGTGTTCGACCAACCCTGGGAAAAATTTTAATGGGAGATTCTAGAGACCAAAATAAGACGAAAATGAAGAATATCAATTTGTTGATTGAGGCTTCGTTAAAAAATTATTAAAAAATTAAATTAAAAAATTTCAAATCATTCGCGGAAAAATTATTTTCGGTTGCGGGGGTCAATTTCGATCATTTTTGGTGAATAGACATATCCCCGAAATCCTACCCATTTTCGAGAAAAAAATTCTTTACCGACAATATAATGTCTGACCATACCATTGATATATTTCACTGAAATTTCAAGCATATCTTTAAACCACTGTAACTTCTGAACTGATTGCAGGATTTTAATGATTCAAACGGCAAACAACGCGTATTTTGGTGAAGAATATGTAGAAATTCTAAAAATATTCGAAAAGTTGATCCTTAACCCCGTAAAGTTGATCCTTAACCCCATAAAAGTGGGCCAATCTTCAAACGACCATAACTCCTACAATAGTGAATATATTTCATTGAAATTTTGGGAGGAAGTAAAGCTCATAGATACCCACAAAAAAGTATTAAACAACTTTTCCGTAGAAAAAAAAATTTCAAATCGTTCTGGATAAATTATGTTCGGTTGTGGGGCACAATTACAATCATTTTTGGTTAATAGACATACCCTCGAAATTCTAACCATTTTCGAGAAAAAAAATTCTTTATCGAAAATATATAGTGTGGCCGGAAATGTTTTTACAATTTAATAATCCTTGATTTTCGTCTTATTTTAGCCTCTAAAATCTCTCGTTAAAATTTTTCCCAGAGGCGGTCAAACACCCTGTATAGATGGCGTGACAGTCAAAGTGTTAATTTGGTATGTAAGTTTCCTTCATCCACAGTTGTTCATTTTTTAAATAGTGTCACCACAGGACAGATATAATGAAAAACTTTAGCGATCGTCGATTATTTTAAACGTAAAAGCGGGTTGACAAGATGGTGACGCGTGCCAGTCGTGGGTCCTAACGCTGCTTCTCTGTTCCGGGCAAACGGAGAAGATCTTCCCTCTCCATGTCTACTATTCAGAGCTGGAACGAAGGCCCGCTAGGCACCTAAGTAATCAGTAAGGAACATGACGCCCTCTCTGATAATGGAAGAATCGGTTGGCTAGAAGTGGGGGACTCTCGTGGCTCTCAGCGAAGGAGTTCGTGATTACAGATACAGAATTTAAGCTTTCATTGTGAGTAATGCATTCTTTGAAAAATATTACTTCTAGCTTTAACTTTTTTAAAACAATTTTCTCGTGTTATATAAATAAAAATTGTATTAGTAACTAAATAAACAAATAAGTTTATGAATGCCTATAAATTCGTACAGTTATGCAATTTAGAATGTATCACCTAATAAATTTATTAAATCAAATTTCGGAATAAAGTTTAGAGTACAGTATAATCTTTTAAAAAACTGACATAGGCAAGTAATGAATGAGATTAATGGTCCGTGGTTAGAAAAAGTAAAACTTGATATAAATTATGTCATAGTGTTTGGTTAATTCTGTAATTTAATATAGATCTCAAAATAAAATAATGAATTTCGTGGAATGCGATTTCTCAAAGGGTTGGCAATCAAATTGCTTCTGAATTAAATCATTTGCTTTTCTTCTTGATAAATTTCTAGAATGGTGGACTATTATGAAGAAACATTTTATCTAATATTGTTAATTTTAAGGAAAACTACAAGTTAATGAGTTATTAATTATTTTTCTCCACAGGCACCCTTGGCAGTATGGTAAAGTTCAAAGATTCCTTTCTTGGAATAACATTTTTAAATATTAACATAATCTAAAATAATTAGAATACGATAAGTAAATGTACGTATAATATGAAGATGAATACGAAATGATACAAAAGAGTTCAACAATATTTAAAAATATTAAAATATTATTCTAATGGAAGGCTTCACTTCTTTCTTTATATAAAAACACATTTGTGTCGACACATAATGTGTCGAGTGGGATATCTAATTGAAAAAATTCGTTGTAAATTGAAGAAGTTGTACAAAATTTTCGCATAGTGTTTTCTTTTGCAGACATCTACTAACCCTCAACGATTAGCAGATACAACGTATCATACATGTACTTATTATTTAGTTATAAATTTTCTTCTTTTCTATAAATTTTGAAAAGTAGAATAAAACGTCATCGAATATTTAGCTTAATTAATAGAACTTCTCTTAAAGTTCTGAGCTGATACATACGAAACGTGTTTACAACGAAACCTCAAAAGTGCGTAATTCTTTTTGCAATTGCTACTCTAACTTAAAATTATGTTTATCTGACTTTTAACACTTTCCTTAACGTTTCTACGATTCTTTTACAATTCTTTTACAAATTTTTTACAATTAACTCCATGTAATATTTCGTATTCTCCTTAATTAAATATTTCTTAGCACCTGATATGTATCAAGCCTCATTACATGATACGATCTGCTCCAATGTAAATTTGCAAGCGAAATTCGTATTTCAAAGTTGAATCGTCAAAAATGAGACACTAAAATCAAATATCGCCTACTAATTGGTTCGTATTACGCAGCATTCAAAAGATTCAAGTTTCGAGGAAACAACGTTTCGTACGCATCGACTCTCGCGCATGGAAGTGGGACAAGAAAATAAGTATTAATTTAAAAGTTGTCTATCTTTATATTTGTATTTCCATTATAAAAAAAGAGTCTTGTTTTACAAAGCAACGTCGCGTTCGATAAGTAACGTATCATAATACCCAGCATCATCGTTATATATATCACAATAAAATGGACGTGCGAATGACTTTCGCATGCGTAACGTATACGTGTAAAATGACAATCATGGAAATCATATGGCAAGCAAAAAATTGTTTCTCTATTAAGCCGCACGATTATCTAAGCGACGAAACTTGGAACGCGTGATACGGTTCCGAACTTTAGGACGCCTATTTCTCATCTGTTTTGTATATTTTACAAGATCCTCGAGTTCTTCGCTACCATTCTTCTTCCGAAGATCGTACGAGACGCGTTCAAGCATCGCGCGCGTGTACATATCGTACGAATACACTTGTAACGTCACGTGTCGCTTGTCTCTTTATCGATGACTCGTGTTCGCTATTTTAAACTCGTTCCAAATTAGCCAGACGAAATCGATAATCGTGCTCGTACCCCACGCCGGTTTTGCGTCAAGTCCACCCAAAGTTTCGACGGTTTCGTGACCTTTTCTACCAGCCACGTGTATCTCGTACACGCGTTTAGGCGGTTTCCACGAAAGGCACAACGTTCCTCGTCGACTTTCGTCCTCTTCGTTCCCCGCAAAGCTCGATCGTTCGTTGTCTGCTTCTTAGACGAATCCACTGCTGAATAGAACGACTAACATTTTGTATCCTCTACCATCGATTCTATCTTTCTTCGTGTGTTGTTCGTATAATATATGTCGGTGACAAAATAAGTGTCCTGTCTGGAGGACCACTCGCTTAATTCTTTGAACACAAACAGTTTAGTCTACATAGTCGAGGTCCAGAGATACGACGACGGAACGTTCGTCGCAATCGTTATTCGAGTGCGCTCGCGTCATACGCCATTGCTGAGTCGCGTTGAAAACGAAAGACGGAGTCCTCGCACTCTCATCACGCGGTTATACTTGCGTGGCACTATGTTATGTAGCAAAACGCTGGACCCCCAGCACACCGCAAACATCTTTCGTTGCGATCGTGATTGCTGATGCCGAAGATCTCACCTGAAATTTAAAAAAAAATTTTTCATTCATCACTTGTAATATAGCGAACTAAAAATTATAGGAAGGATACTAAAGTCACTAGTTTGCTAGATTCGAAACCTTTCACAAGCAACCCCTCTAAAAGATAAATATAAATTTCGAGATTTACAGACAAAGATTTAAATTCTCTGTTTTAGTCTTGTCAGGCCATGACAACAATTTTATCAAAATTAATCTATATAATATGAGACGTTCAAGTTATTTACAATGTTCTACATATTCCTTTTCAGTGTATTAACAGTTTGAATTTAGAAGTCTTATCTTCTCTGCACTAACTTCCAATGTTATTAAACTTTATATCAGTATTATAATATCTATACAGAACGCATATGGTATAGATATATTTCTTCTAATATGGTGGATTGAAAATAATAGGGAGGATAGTTTGGTAGATTCGAAACCCTTCAGAAGCAACCCCTTTAAAAGATAAATATAAATTTCGAGATTTACAGACAAAAATTAAATACTCTGTTTTAGTCTTGTCAGGCCATGAGAACAATATTATCAAAATGAATCTACATAATACTAGACATTCAAGTTATTTACAATGTTCTACATATTCCTTTTCAGAGTATTAACAGTTTGAATTTAGAAGACTTATCATTGGTTTTACTAATCTTCTTCACACTAACTTTCAATGTTACTAAACTTTATATCAATATTGTAACATTTGTACAGAACACATATGGTACGGATATATTTCTTCGTCCTTGTAGAATCGAGTGTACAATAAAACGCGTCACGATAACAGTTTGTTCGATTTATTCAGTAACTCAATCTATAGATTTATGACCCCGATTCCGTCATAAATTTTGCACGAAAACGATCGAGACCATCTGTCTCGAATCGCTGATCTGCTTTTCGAGTTACTTAATTACTTCGAAATTCTAAATGACGTAGAATTTGGGCTCTGATACCTGTACCGCTAAGCTCGAACGTAACTTCTTGCAGTCAGTATTATTTTGGCAGTGGAATCGTGTAGAACCGTTTCGAACAATGTCTCTTGCAATTTACTGCTTCTAAGTAAACTAGATTAATACAAATATAACACGCTAGGGTTAAAGCCAAAAATTTAGTGTCAATGAAATAAATATCGTTTAGATTAAATTTCTTTTATATATAAATATACAAAATCCAGCTATCGAATAGTTTCAACAAATTGTTAACGTGATACGGTTCTGTTGCATCATTGTCGATTCTACCTACTACATGTGTACGCAAGTTTCTCGTATGTGTATGAGTGCACACTCTGCTGTCGGGGAATTTAAATAGCGCGCCTCGAAAGTGGGCTCATATCTCGATAAGGAAACCTCGAACTGCAAAATAGTAAGTGACTTTCTGATTTTTATTGGAATTATAAATTCACATGTTTTGGAAAGTTCTATAATATCTTGTGAGTCTCAGAAAAATTATGCAGTTTTCAAGAAAATTAGAGAAATATTTGTAATATTTTATTTCAAGACTACTCTATCTAACATTCTCGATTACCCAATAATTGAGTTTGTGAAACGTTTCCAGTACATTCTGACGTATTTTTAGAAGTACAGTAATCTTTTTTTCCCCCCCAGAGCCATACAGAAATAAATGTCGAGCTTTCTAACAGATCCAATAATACAGTCGATTATGGTTTCCTGGAAGTTGTATCGGTTTCAAGAAAAAAAGAACACACGACATCTATTTCCGGATGGATAAAAATGGCTCCATAAGCGATTGGGTGCCGTATCCGTGCTATGCCATGACGTCACCCTGTTTCATAGCACGTTAAGTGACGTCATGACACAGAAATCCACGTCACAGTTCCACCTACGTACACGGAATCGCGCGACCCCGTTTCGCGCGTCTCTGCTTTCACGTCTCTTCGGGTCAAACGTTTCTCACGAATGATTTACAAACAAATACCACGAATCCCACACCGTCCTTGCTACTTAAATGGGAATCGTTCATTCATCGTATAGACGAATAAAAAAATTTCATTGAACGTGGAATACACTCGATGCAAATGAATTTTACCTCGCGTACGGTGGCGGTGGCGACGGCGTCGGGTCCCTAGAAACAATTTCCACGGTTCTGGGGACCATGTTGTGAACAGTTGGTAGCGACAACGCGCTGCTATTGCTCAGCCTAACCAGGTGACTAGGATTCAGCTTGATGGCATCGTCGTAACTAGGTGGCGCGTCCGTCACAGCCTCGTAGTCAGGCGGCTTCTGTCTAGATCCACTAGATGGTTCCTCGATGGAGATCACATGGATCGGATCGTCTATCTGCGATCAAGAAAGTTACCGTGTGAGTCATCCTCGGGGTACCGTGTATCGTCGTGAACTTTCCGCGACTCCTACGCAATCCGGTTCGAACGAAAGCAACGATCGACGGAAACGAGTCGCGAGAAATTTCCATATTCGAGCTACGCGGAATCGAAGCTTTTCTCCTCCCGTTTCCGAAAAAAAAAAAAACAGAAACGACCCATCAAAGGCGAGTGGACTTTTATTACGCGACTTTATGACGGCATTATGCCCGACCGTAAGGATATTAACCCCGAAATGGTACTCATCTATATATATCGCGGGTCGTCTATAGATATCTACCTATAGCTGGTAGATATATATGCAACTCGCCTCGACACTCTTTGCGAAGTTTATAACTGGTCGTACCTAAGCCACGAAAGGGCGCAAAGTGACGTACGGGACACGCAGGATGGAAATAGCCACGGTTATGCGAGACTAGAAGTAGCTTCGGGGAAAATTGCATAATCGGTTTCGGGCTGAATCTCCAGGTGAATGACTGAAGCCCAGCGTCGGTTATCCGCACCGAAATCGAACGTTTTTATCCGCGACGCGCTCAGCCACTGTTTTGCTTCTCGTTGGTTTCGTTCCTGGCCCAGGTTTCCACATGTTCGATGTATTATCGTAATACCGATTCAATGTAAGCACGATTCAGTGAATAACGGAACATATGCAGAGCAATTCTAATAACTGGGCTATAATTCTGCCACCAGCGAAGACAAATAAATAATCGAAGAAGGAAATTTCGCGTGATTTAACCACTAAGTTCGTGAAATATTTGACCACAAAATGTATTATTCGTAAAAAAAGATGACTTCTTTGTGGATTTCTTTTTATTTTATGCAATACTTTTATCATTATTACTATTGACCAAAATTGATGGATTGGTTTTAAGATATTCACGCATGTTTCTAAAATACTGCATCATAAATAAATCGCGTTCGTGTTTCGTAAAACAAAGGTTTTCAGACCCACGTTTATCTTTCTTTATTCTTGGGAAAAGTAGAATTATTCTATTTCCGCATCGTCCTGTATGAGAGCAAATGAGGGCAACTATAGAAAATGTTTGGAAATCCGTTTATTTGTTTAACAACGTTTCGATTCTCTTCCTGGTGCCCTCTTCAGTCATATAATCTCTGGAAAGGCGGTTTTCGAGGTTATTCATCGGGTTATAGGAATAGACCATAGCGTTATAAACGTAAAGAGTTCAAAGAAGAATAGAAAACACTAAAAGAACAGAAATATAAAGACAACTTAAGTTGCAATTTACTTCAGAATTCTTTTCTTCGTAAATCTGGTGATGAATGATCTCTAAACTTCTATACTTTTCCAGAGATTTTATGCCTACAATAAACTCCAGAAAAGGTAGTGTAGGAATGAATGTGCTGTGTGAATGTTTATAAATTCGAAGAAGGATATAAGCTGTGTGTAGAGAGGCTTCAGTGAGTCGAGAGCGAGTTTAGCGAGTTGAGAGAGAGTTTTCGTGGGCATTTTGTGGGTTTTTGCGAGTTGTGAGTCGTGAGAATTACCGTGAGTTAGATTTCAGTTGTTTTTGTCATGTAATAAACGATATTGTTTTAGAAAAGCCTCCAAGCCATTCATTCGTACCTCGATTCCCATCTACGAGGAATTTACTACAAATAATTTCTACATAATATGTTATAAAAATAAATAAATTTCCAAACGTTTCTTACACTTTTTGTTATCTGACAAGCATTATCTTCGTTAATAATATATTCAAAGTTTGATAAACAACTTCCTTGTATTTTGATTTGTATTTTCAAACGTTTGGTAAAATTATCAGAACCATACTTTCTTGAAGGGGTATTTTAATATACAATATAATTATATAAGAATATAAGATCACTGAGTTAATATAGAGTCAAAATAGAGCCAGAACAAAAACTACAGGCAATTATATCAGGTGAAAGGATATATAACAGGTAATTTGCAGTATAAAATGTAAACAATAAATAATTTATATACGAAAATTGCAAAAATTTTGTATAAAACTCCGATTACTTCTGGTTACTCTATAATATGTTGCTCCTGTTACTAACTGTTCACGGTTCTGCATTGATGCCATAATTAGATACAAAAGCGTACATTGTCAGTTTCACGCTATGTTCTCAGGATTAGAATTAATTTAAACCGTTATAGCATGATGATTCAATATCCGGAAGAATAATAAATTAAGAAATGAAATATTTAAAAGTAGACATTTCATAATATCAATTAGAGAACTTTAAAAAAGAAATAAAAAGTATGCATGTTTCAACTTATTTTGCGTTGTTTCGATACTTTTATCAAATTTTGAATCACTATGTTTCCGGTTCTACTTATCCTAGAAAATTCTGCAAGGTCTCATTTTTCTTAATTGCGAAGCAGTAATAACAATAGTATTTCTTTTTCCAATTTTTGTATAGTTTTTTAAAGGATCTTCAAAGGATGTTCTTAACTATTGCATTTCTGAAATCTTTGTATTTCTATATTCAGATATTAAAAAGTTCAAATCATAGCGTTTCGATGGAAAAGAATTTTATTAAAAGCGATTGAAATAACAGCTGGAATTATTAACATTAAAAATAGATTTACAAAAATTTTTTTAAAAATTCAAAGAATTATCAAAATTGCGTAAATGGAGTAAAGTGATCAGCATTAAGAAAAGGGAGCTTAATAATTACTTTTTTCTATCAACGCAAGAAAAGAAGGGTGCAACTCTCGAATGAGTTCCTAACATTTTCAATGCTAAAGAAAAGTAAGATAATTTTGTCGAGGTAAAGTCTAGCAATTCGTGAAACAACGAACGTAAAGCCAATTACTCTATTACTATAATCTCAAAATAGTCTTTGGCTGCATAGCCAATTACCGGTATCTAATATTACTCATACGACAGTTGTTGACCTCCTGTAAATTATATTTACAGTTTTAGCAAAGAAATATACATGAACCTTGAGTTTTTCCTTTCAAAAAATCCAACTCGTGTCATCTCATTTATATTATCAAAAAATACAGTAACTACCAAGATATTCGTTGCACTCGAAGCTAGAAAGTACCCGAAAGAATAGTATGTTCGTAATTTCCTACTGCATTCTTGTCGTTTAAAATCTTGTCAATTTGTTTGCCTCTGTCTTACGTGATACGTAATTAATTTTTTTCGTTGCCACAAATTGCTCAAGAAATTTTTAAATAAAAACTATGCATACGACTGCATCAAGGTAAACCGCTACAGAACCGTTGTCATTATCACGTCGCGTCGTAAACTGTTTTCTCACACTTGCACGCATGTCAATTGTAACTGTAGCGTACATCGAAGGATGGTTGCCGATAAATATAGATACGAGCTTCCGGGTGAATATCCTTATGGCAGTTAATCGCTGTAACTACCACCGACCTCTTTTATGCATCGAGCCGCAGACAGACCTATGCATTTCTATTGTTTCCTCTCCCGCAACGAAAAGAGAAACGGCCGCTATTTTAAGTCGCGTTACACCTACGCGCTGCTCTGTAAGAGGGGGGAGGGAGAGAAAAAAAGGATCGAGAACGAGTCTTTTCGTGGGAACAACGCGCGATCAAGATCCACGGGGACAATGAAAGCGTACACAGAATGGCGCTGAAACGACGAAAGCGGGACGCCACGAGCGTGGACGCGATAGGATCGCGGTGAGATGAGCGACTCGCGAAAAAAAAAATCTTCCGCGAACGACGGTCGCGAATCCGATCGACCGCCGGAAATTCCGTGACGTTCGCGAAAAAGAATATGCAACGATCGTATCTGCCTGATGCAACTTCTGCTTTCGACGGAACGACGCGCCACGTGTTCGACGATTTAGACGATCGATGATTTTCCCCGCGGGCCACACGTGAAACGTAAATCCCGACGATCGTTGTATTCATCCGCCGCGAGTTTACGCCGATTAATCGTGGATTTACGAAACACCACATGGCACGCGCGAATGTTCGCGATACCAGAGGCTAGCGAGTGAATTACGCGCGGAGGTAAGGCGTTGAGAACTATACTTGGTTAAGGGAAGGACTGGAACTGTCAGTCTTTGGATTTAAGGAACTTTTAAAAAGAAGTTGATAAGATGTTCTGAATATACCCGAGATACAGTTGCTCGTATTCGTACATTATAATAACGATTCACTAGAAATGGAAAAAAAGTGTTGTTTCTTATGAATCGAGTTTTAGAAACTGGTATAAATTGTTTCGTAAATCGAGTTTTTAAGAGTTTGTATTTGAATAAATTAAAAAGAAAACTCGTCGAAGGTCGTGTTCGATTACTGAAGTTAAGCAACGTTGGCTGCGGTCAGTACTAGGATGGGTGACCGCTTGAGAAAACCGAGTATTATTCACATTGTTATTACTATATACTCTTTATATTATATTTCTCTGTTGGTTTTGTAATTGACCATTACTTAGTATTAAAAAAGAAAGCAAAGCTATTTAGTAAATAGAAATAATACAGTGCATTAAAAAACATTTAGTAAAAATAAATGGAAAAAATTCATAAGTTTGTTTTCATTTACAGTGGAACGCCATTATAGTGTATAAATACGAGGAGGAATAACTGTATACTATGAATATCAAATTTTGTCACTTTCTTTCGTCGAAGTAGATCGTAGAAGCGGAAGCAGATGAGTTCGAGGTCGCGGGTTCTAATTTTGTTCGCCGTATAATTTAACAAAAGTGGGTTTATGGAGTTTCCTCTGCACCCAAGAAGTAGCATTATATTGTGTCATGGTCGACATTTGGAAAAATGTAACATCTCCTGTCTCCTTAATCTCTACTCGAGGTTAGGTTAATAGACTATTTAATTGTTTATTAGTATTATATGCATTTTCTCGAGCTCAGGTTTAAAATATTTCAGTTGCACCTTGCTTTGCTTCTTGGTAAATAATTTACGTATGTGCGTTATAGAGACGTCAAATAAAATACATTTTTTTCTTCCTCCAAGAGATTCATTTATAATTGCACCAACTTGGTATACTGCTAAGTCAACCAAGTTGTTTTCCCGGAAGAAGTGAATGGTAAAAAATGTGTTTCTGTGTGTCCGTGAAGTGTGTACAATGATTATCGTATACAATGCTATCGCAATCGTAAAACGGACCAATTAAAAAAGAAAACAATATTGTTATCCTGGTTAATGAAATTCGAATCCATGATTACGAGCATAAGAGCTTGTGGTTCTACCAGTAGCTGTAGAAATTATTAACAACGCACAGCAAAGCACAGTTTACAAAAGAAAACCATTTCATTCTTCATTATAAGAATTTCAAAATTTAGAAATAATCTGACAATTATATTTCGAATCCTCCAAATTCGTGACTTTATAGAAAACGATGGATGAGAGTACGAAACCAAGAAATTTTAAACTAAATCTTTTGATGGGTTTAAAATATAATTTTGAAATTGTTTCTCGATTTCGAGACTTAAAACTTATGAAGTCGTGTTCCTTTGTCTATATACATATATATACCTTCAAAGAGGGTCATCGATTAATTAAATAAAACGCTGAACTATCATCTTATGCCAAGGAAATTATCTGTACATACAGTTGAAACTCCATTAACCCTATTTATAGAATGACAAGTTGATTGTAAGAAACTTAAAGAAAAAATTGAAAGTTAACTATTTTACTCTATTCTTAGTTTCTGTACTAAATTGGTTTGATTAAAGCGATTATAATCTTTCAGCAACCATCGAACATAACATAAATGGAAAACTAATATAAGGAAATATATTCTTTCAATGGCATGAGTACTTAAAAAATTCATCGTGAAGACGATTTCAATTTTAATAACCACAGCTTTCCAAATACCATAAATTCTTACTGATTTTATGATACTTTCAAATTCTATTTCTACTTCAGATCTACGATGTGACGATCAGAATTAGATTTAACTGTTAATAGTAAAGTGTTTCGAGAATAGGACGTTCGAATATTAAAGTATGCACAGAAAACTGGAGAAACGGAAATTTAAATAAAGAATTTTTTACCAAGTTAAACGATAAAATTGTGATTATATTTATGAACAAAAGTGAGATGAAAGTGTAATATAAACATAGATTTAAACTAGCTTCATTAAAAAGTTGTAATATTCATTTACAATTAATTCTTTATTTCAAAATGTTGGCTTAGACATGGAAAATATATTCAAATTTTGAGGAAATATAAACACAAAAAATGTAATACAATAGCATATAAGCAGGTGCCTAGAAAAACTAGTGAATTCTTTCTAGGAAACACAATTAATTGGAGTTTAAAGTTAATATCTGCCAAGAGTAACTTATAAAGAGACTTCAAACCATGAAATTTAAAATTGTTTGAATGGGCGTAACTGCATCAATATTATTCTACATACAAGGGTTGAAATTGCCTTCCAAAGTGTCACAATGAGAAGTACACAACAAATTTTATTGCACGAAAAATTATAGTGTCTTGAATATTTTATCTGAAAATGAAAAAAGGTATATAATCGAAAACTTTAAATGACTTGACACGATTGTATCGTACGTCAGCGAGTTTTAAAAAAGTGTTTTAACAGAAGGTGAGATATTCTACGAAGCCACGTTATAGTAAAGTATTCAAGTAACAGAGACGTTCGGATAATGACAGTTCCACTGTATTATTCGTATCCCGTATCACATTTATAAACAACCGATAATTACGGCTAGGTTGTACACCGCTATAGTATACACTAGTACCTTACGACATATGAGAGGGGGTTGACCCGGATCGATCTAAAAACGCTATAATCTTTGGAGGCTTCGATCAAGACCAGCGTTTCGAAACCCTTAAACCGCGACGTACGTACGGTTCATTACATCGAGGAAAAAAGTAAGAACTCCGACGAAGCGACGTGGAACATTGTATCGATCGTAGAATCGCTTTTGCAACCATTAGGGAAACCGCGATAATTATATCGTATCACGAGCTCGTTAATCGTACAATGGAGTTTCGAGGGAAACTATGCGAACAAATTGCTTTTCCATTGTATGGAATGGGAAACAATCGGCAAATACAGAAATAGAAGCGGTAATGGCCCATGGAATAATTTAAGTCTATTAAAATTCATGAGAATATTTAAAACTTGGAATTCGAGTACGCTATTAGTGTTTTGCATAATAGTGGAATACGCTGGAAATACCTGAAAAATAGTTACAATGTATCGAAACGTAAATACCGATTACGATGAGCGTACTTTTTCTCGTAGTAGGTGAATATTGCAAAATTGTACCACTTAAATTATTTTATTTTGTAACCTGGCCTTTATCAATTATTACAAGAATGAATTAATTCGTTGTAAGACTTTTCGTAACAGAGTTTGAGAAATTGATTCTCAAAACTACCTTTTATCGGTTTTCAAATCGTGCTTTCATTGAAAACAGTGTATTTGTGGACGATAATAAAATACATAGTTGAGGAAAGGACCTATTTCTCTAATACATATTTCGTCAATAATGAGAATGAAGTCGCGGTTGGAAGAATAATAGTTCCTATATTTCATTCTTCTCCACAGCTTACAGGAACCCATGATGCTCATTTTATGTACTGAACCATGTTCTACGTATCACTGCTTGCAGAATGCGAAACCAGTTTTCTTTACTAACACTTGCACCGCTATCGCTAACATAGTTACGCGAGAATCAGTCGCTGGGTCTTCTTAGACCCATACTCTATTTTATGTAATTAAATTTGTAACCTGTAGTAATATCGAATACACGTTTCGTTCGTCAGAAAATGAATTATAATCAATCTTACACCAGAAAAATTATAAAAAATAAAAAAAATAACTGATACCAGAGTCCAAAAGGATCTACCGACTGCCGTGTAAGCGTTAATAAAAACAATGATGCCTTCCGAAATATCTTATGAAATTATGTAATGTTTTAGCTTCAATATAATACGAAGGTTGAAATTTCCTTAGACACCCTTTTTTCTCAATATAATCCTCTCTCCAGCTTGGATGGTTCCCCAGCATCCACCCTCTCCATTCTTTTTAAAATACTTTGCATTTCCTTCCTGACAAATAAGCTCGAAAATGTATTCCAGTAAAACATCATCAAATTCTTTGAATTCAGATTTAAAATCGAGACGATTTGGAAGAGGTAAATAATAATGAAGAATATATAATACGTTAAATGTGATTAGACGTTCTAATAACAATGAAAGGGAAGAGATTTAGACATCCCTGCTCCATATGCTTCCCTCCTGCTCGGTCGTTAGGAAAATGTATTCCAGTCAAAATCTTTAAATTCACATTTAAAAAATTACCAGACGATTGGGAAGAGGTAAACGATAATGAAGAGTACGTTGAATGTGATTAGACGTTCTAATAACAATGAAAGGGAAGAGATTTAGACAACCCTGCTCCATATGTTACCCGCCTGGTCGGTCGTAAGGAGTTCTTTTCTTTTATTGAATTAAACTTGCGCCAAGATTTTTCTTCAATGGCACCGTGACACTAATCCCGACGCACCGGTGTGCTTGATGGTTTCGACGAAACGTTTATCATTGTCGCTGGTTAAGAAAATGAAGTCTTACCTGTGCTGTGATCGGATGATTTGTGTGTTGTGTGTGCATGGTTGCCCTACTTGGCGGTGCGTGCAGCCAACAGCACATTGCGGCACATATGAGAAGAGCCCCCGCGATTATGCAAGCAACACCGACATATCGTACCGGTTCAACGTAGTTCTCGGCGAGGCCTAACCAGTTTATCAGAGCTCCAACGCAAAGGAGAACCATCCCGTACCTGTACGGACGCTGCGAACGCCTCGACTCCTCCAAGGACATTGCTGAAATCGCAAACAGAGATTGTCAATTTTACAACTCGTGGTCTCAGACGTCGTTCTTTTGGCCGCGGATACCTTCGAATTCTCTCGGGAATAATAAAACCCGAAGGACAAGTTCCGCGGGGAAATTAATGTTTCCTTATTTGGTTTCGTAACGTCAAGACCGTGTGTTTCCTGGTCCATCAAGGTGTGTATAAAATATGGGGTGAATAAGCGAGATATTTTATTTGAATTCTATATAAATGCTTGGGATTCGGAAGTGAACAGAATATTTATTCGATCTTGTTGCGGGCAATCAGGGAAATTAAATTTGAAATTTAAATTCGATCGAACGCTTCGACTAGAGTTCGAATCATCTGCTTAACCCCTTAACGTTCATGCCCGAGTCTGACTGCTTTGAAAAACGATATTTGTTTAATCTAATGGTTTAAGGGATGATAATATTTGTTTTTCTTCAAATTATACGTTGGATACAACATTGTAAATAACAAAAACCGCAGTTTTAGAAACAAATCCAATAAAGAAAACTGATCATTCTTGGTTAACTCGAAAAATATGAGCGTTAAGGGGTTAACGAAGTGAAAAAATATATATATAGTCTAAAAAGATATGATTTGGTTTCGTAACATCGAGACTGTGTTTTTTAGTCCAGCAAGGTGTATATAAAATATGAGAAGAAAATAAAGGAGATGTTTTATTTGAATTCCGTGTAAATGCTTGGGGCTCGGAAGTGAACAGAATATTTATTTGATTTTGTTGTGGGCAATCGAGGAAATTAAATTTGAAATTTAAATTCGATCTTCTACCTAACGAAGTGGAAAAATATATACAGTATACAGTACAAAAAAGGTGTGAATGTATAAGATGAAAAATTGAAGGTGTATTTAAATTTAATCTACCTGCTTTGGATGATGTTAATATATTCTTTTTTTTTATTTTTAGAGTAGTTGATAGAAATGTTGGAATTGAATTTAAATTTTGAGTTTAATTTCCTCGATTTGCCCGTGACAAGACTGAATAAAGAATTAAGAAATTTGTTTACTGCCTTAGCATAACTGTTTCTTTACGATCGTTTTTAAAGATTGATTACTTCTAAAGAGGTCATAGTACATCTACGATCGAAACGTGGTATTAATAAATAATTAACTCTACTATGTTGCCCGATAGAAACCAGTAATACATAACTGCTTTACTAAGAAAACAGTAAAAAATGCAAAGAGCGAAACAATACTTTTAGTAAAGAAAATGTGAATAAATAAACATCTCTTGGTTTTGAAGTTTAACGAATACATCAATATATTTTTGTTATATCACTTTAAATAAACCACTTGTCTCATTTAACACGTTGTCTTTCACGTCATCTATATATGGGTGACAGATCGGTTCATTAGGAGCTGACAAAATTTATTCTCAAGATGAAATGTTAAAAAGACAAGTCTAGATAGGACTTATGAATTTTAAACGAGGTTATAAAAATAGGAATTACGTCAAAATTTAAATCAAGTAGTTTCCAATTGTCTGGCATACGTCTTAATAAATATTACCGTTGCTAATTTTTAATTGAAAATAATTATGCAATTGGTCACTTGAATTCTCATAATTATACGTATAGTATAGTAAATACAATTTATTTCCTACTTAAAGAATTTCGAATAATATTCTATATTCGATGAATCAAACTCATTAAAAATAACTGAAATGTGAATTAATTAAAATAAATATAAAATATTTTGCTTATAAATGTCAGACACAGAAATCCTGTTTCTTCTTAGAAGAGCATTTACCTTAGTGTTCGAGAACCATTAAATTATAGATAATATTTTGTCGGAATATATTAAAAATAAATGTAATAATATTTAATTGAAGTTGAAACCGCTGAAATAATTTATTACATTGGCAATAAATAAACAAGCAACGTATACTCTGATAGTGTCGATGGCAATACCTCAGACATACGCAGAGTCTATTTTTAGGTAATATTCCACTTTCGTGTCTCGATTACGTTGATGTACGTGTACAGAGAGCGACGTCTATTTATGGGATTGGCCAGTTTTAGAAAATAGAGCTATATATAAGCACGATAAGGATATTGCCACGTACTTTATTTCCAGCTATACGGTATTGATTCGTACGGTACGCGATGACATGTATTGTAGTAGAAACGCTAAACTTCGCCTCGGATTACGCAGAGTGAGCGATATGTGTTTCGAGCCGGTTTGTAACTTCCTAGGAACATCCGCAGAGTCTCAAGTTCCATTTTTTTTTAACCTACCAGCATAATGTCAGTTAACTTTATTGCTATAAAGTTCCTCAATGTAGCTTTTCATGGCAAAAGTTTTACTTTGTTCGCTTTAGTTCGTGAATAGTTCAAAGTTCAAGAATATTTCTTTGCGAGACAAAAATCGAAAATTTCGTTTGATTTTAAAATTAACAAAGGAATATAACGTAATAAAAATATTAAACAGAAATTCTAATATAAATTATAAAATGAATTTATATTTCACGTAGAATGAATGAAAATTAAAATTGGTTAATTAACTAAAATTCTGAACAACAGTTTGCTTCGATATATGCCACTGATAAATCAGTATACTGGGTTTTTACTCGTCTATCCATTATTTAAGTAAAATTTTGCCTGTTTCCATTTTGGAGCCGAGGGATTGCATTAGTGTTCATGCTCGCGGGAGTCGAAATGTAATTCGTTGAATATGAACGATAGTGGAATCATTTACGCGCCGATACCTAACAGGTTAAAGGGACGGAACTTATTTTTCGAAGTAGGTCAGTCGAACGAAGCAATTTACCGTTGTGTGCCACCAAAAGTGACGCAGTAAGCGTATCGGGAATTAGATGGTGTGTAAATAATAGTTTCCAAGGGGAAAAACAACCGACCGTGCACGCACTTACTTACATACAATCGCCACGAGGACGCTTATTATTCGCTGTAGCGTCGAAATATCAATGACCCATTTTCACACTGTTTTATACTTGGAGTGACATCCTTCAACCCAAACGTAATGTCAATCCATCACTGTGTTTCTTCTACGATTTTTTCCGTCGAAGGTTATCGTTCGAGGAAAATCAGGAATCTTTGATGTCACTTATCACTTTTTAATTATTATCTGTTCATTATGTATTTTGTACAATTGCTGACGTACTTGATATCAATCACCCCACATTACTAACAAATTCCAAAAGCTTAATTTTCTCTAAGACTACTGGTAGTAAATAATTTTATGCAAATGAAAATAAAATTAACAGATATTCGTTAAGTAAACTATAGATATTGTACTGACAATTGTTGACACATTACCTATGTGCGATATAAAAACCAAATGACTAATGCTCTCGGTATCTTATATAATTGTCTATATTATATCGCGTAAAAGTAAACAAGGAATATATTCATATGACACAATTTGTCAAACGTTCGTGTTACAGTAATAAAATTAACACAGTCTGTACTCGTTTAAAACTGAGTGCTCTTAAATGTCAAAATATGAAAGTCAAATAAGTCGATACAAGTTTTTAAAATTTATTCGAGTTTCTTGTTTAGGCATTTAAGACCAGTCAGTTTTAAACGAATGTTGAATACATTATAAGTGAGAAATAATAAATATATTTTTCAATAAAATTTTGTCCATGGCCAAACAAGAACAACAAAAATATACGTCATTCGGTTCTTGCAAATGATCATACGCGATATAACTAATTTATACAACTTTTAATATGCTAATAGAGAACGCGTAGCAAGTCATCATTCATCAGCAAGTCATCAGCAAGATCATTGATGCTGGTGAATTTCTATTTTAAAGTTTCCAGATAGTTAATAATGCTGTAAAAGCAACCTTGACACTTTTAGTGTGTGTCGACGAAAAAATTCTGAAATTAATTGGGGGGAATATTTAAACGGACGTGGTCGTCTGGCAGATTTGTGAAAGTTCAGTGACGTCGGTTCCAACAACGAGGCGTTCGTGTGTACGCAAAAATATAAATCGATCGTCCATCGTTTGTTTTGAGCGTCGAAGAAATACGCTCGTGTGGAGTAAAAGTCTATAAATATTCTTGCGCTGTGCGAAAAGTAGGGTATGCGAGAATGAACATACCGCAAAGGTAGGCCATCTCGACATTAGCAATAGCACGATCGATATCTGTCATTTCTCTGTCATGCTACACGCTATTTCAGAAAGAAGAACCGATCAAATATTAACGTGCTCATTTTGCTGATATTCTCGCACCCTGGAAGTAATATGAACGAGAACAATGTCCGCTGATAAGAATCAGGCACACCGTTCTTCCAAGAATCGTGAAAACTGCACGTGTAGCCGGAAATAGCATAAGAATAGGTTACGGTACTGCTGATAACATATACATAAGTTGATTAATAGATAGAGACGACGTTTCAACCTTATACTGGATCCTTTTTAGAGCTCTTAGGAAAAGTATACAATATATTGCAATTTGATGCAAAGCAACTAAATAGTAAATTATAAAAAATATAGGATTCTTAAAATACTTACTAAACATATAGCTGACATATATGGATTTGAATTAATTTGTTGGTTCTATTTTAAAAGTATAATACAGAGTTGGGTCGTCAGGATGGTAAAACGAAGTACTCCAAAATTTCGTATTATACGATGAATCATGATGATCCCAATCTATAAAATTGTAATCTTTAAACGTCAAAAATATATCAGAAAGGAAAAATTGAGCATGCAAAACGTTTGCGCCTTGAATGTCGCTCTATTCGATATAAAAATTGAATCCTACGAGAATGAAAATAGAGGGAATTTTGAAAACCAGCGAAAAATTGAACACGTTTTCTTTGACTTTAAAAAGTTGAATCTTAAAATAAATGTACTTATCTTAATTAGATATCCCAGAAATTTGACTGTAAAATGAATGTAAAATCACGAATGAATATGACAAATTGCAATACGTACATTATATTTTCACAACGAATACCAGATTATTAAGCCGTGTTTCTCTTTCTTATAAAT